ATTTAAGGCATAGGGTTACATTTTATTATCATTAATTCCCTACACAAAAAGTGTAGTGCGTTTTTCATTTCTTTGTTGAATTCATTGTTAAAAGTAGAGTGGGATACTCTAAAATGGCGCGCCTCTCTACGGAAGCCCCATCTGTCTCAAGAAATCAGTTCTGGATCCATTGAAAACTAAAATTATCATTTTTAAACAGTGCTTATAAATTACAAATTAACAGAAAAGAATGTCGGCATATTCATGGTACTGTGCCAAGTGTTAGACAAACGACCATTGCTCGCGATATGCTGTAGGAGGCTTCATCTACTGTTGCGAGGTCTGGATTAAAGTGGAAGTTTTTAAAAATAAACAGTATCCTAGTAAGGTCCTTTAAGAACTTCATTTGACACAGCTGAAGCAATTTTTAGTACATTGTGCAAAGTAATCAGGGATTGTTTTGCTTTTGCTTTACTTCGCTCTGTGATTGGTCCAGAAAAACTCGCACCAGTCTTTCAACCAATCAGATGCAATACCTAAACCATTTACGGCTTGGTTGCTCACGTTTTCATGCGCTTTTGGCAGTCGTCGTCGGTTTTACTTCGAGTTCCTATTGGCTCTTACAGGCATTCTGATTTCTTCCGAAATGAAAATACCTTTGAGAGGCCATTGTAATTACTTTGGTTTTGATTTTATATTACAATCAAAAAGCGCTCTAATAGAAATAAATCTCTAATCAGTGAGGTTTTTAATAAAGGTTCAAACTTTTGGTTTTGCGAGGCACTCCTGCAAGTATTTATGCACAAAGCCAACCGTTACTGAGAATCATAGAGAAGAGTTTCTCTGGGAAACCTCTTTGCTGTGCACGGAAACCGAACGGAGCGATGATGTTGAAGATGATGGGCGATTCAGCTTCAGTGGAAAACTCGCTTCCTGAATTTTATTAACGTCGGGCATTAGATTCTTGGAGGACTTTTCCTTGCCTCGTTCGCAGTTAGGCAGCTGTGATAGTGGCAGCTGTAATGACAGTCGTTTTGCTTTCAGATCACTTCCAGTTTCTGTAACAAGTGTGGTGAAAGCACTCTGTCGTCGGCGAGAGGTTACATTGTCTACTGGATGGTTGTCATCTGTCATCAGGCGAGACTGAAGAACAGCTACTTTTTCACTCAGTCGCCGCATCTCGTCCTTTTCAGAGAAGCAAATATTTGTTTCATAGTAAACTTGGACTAATAATTTAGTCGCGTTCTTCAATGGAGAAAGAAGAGCAAATAAAACAATTTCCCTCAAGTGTCTGGTGTGACTTTGCATTGCATTTGCTTCACCATGATTTTCAATCGTTTTAGAGAAAGAAACTCTTGCGCCACCTGCTAAAAAGGATAAATAGCTTTGGGCTAACGACTGGTTTCGGATTGGACTGAAGTAGCTTTTAAAACTAACTTGCATAGAGGGTTCAATTGTGTGACCTTGAACATGTTTTAAATGATGTTGTGACAGGAAAATGATTCTTTTCGGCTTGTTCCTATTTCATCAATTCCTTTCTGCTGTTTGATTCTAATTAATATTGAATCCAAAAAACCATTGCATGAGTATGATGCCAGATTATGGGTAATTGATCCAAAAATGAGGCTGAGCCGATAAAAAGTAATCGCTTAAGTCAGCGCACGCACTTTCATTCTGTCCATCTGACCAAGGCACCTTCGACCATTTTAGAGCTGGGAGTGTCAGTGTCCTACCTTCAATACTTGGTTTTCTTTCATCAATAAGTCCTCTTGATTATAAGGTTTTCTTTCTACAACAATTTCGTCATCTGGTACAAGCATGTTGTTGCTGTTTGATGGAACAGCGTTATTCACTGATCTTTGCATTTGGCGTAACAACAAAAACTGTAGAAAAAGGAAAAATACACATAAATCTCATAGTGGTCTTACATCCCTCATAACAGTTGACCATCATGGCCACTTTAAAGACACCCAGACTGAAAACGTCCTGTAAAAGCTCGACAACCTCCCTTCCTCGTCTTTGATCTTGTGACCTTCCTTACTTTAGCAAAATAAAAGTGTTCTTATCCAGTAAGGGTTGGTGGCTTTTAAGTTAAAACTAAACTGTATCTGAAAGTCAATTTTTAGTATCTTCTTAAATTACTGCGGATTTTTCAGCCAAACAAACGCACAATGCACACAGTATAGCATGAGGCATCTTTTTGACTGATCAAGATAGGGGAGTAACCTTGCTATGGACATTTAATCGTGACTTACTAGGACTCAATGGAGGGGAGCACACAAGAGAACCTAAAAAGGATTGTACAAATACAAAAACTCTACCTTTGTCTTTTTCAAATCAGAAGAAGAAACTTTTCCTTAAGTTTTTGCAATGAAGCCGTCAGATTGCTGGGTCAGAAGGCTTTTCCCAGACAGGCTCATGTTATCCAGTCAGCTACACACGTCAGCTTTCGCTATGGTTTTTTAAGCTATGGACTAGCATCTCAACCTGGGGGGAGTAGTTATACTCCTTGTTGCTTCATGCAACATGGAAACCGAGATAAGCTGTGACGGGGTGGTTCATAGCGAATGGGCTCGAGTACAGACTTTACCTTGTGTATGAACATGAGAAATAACACAGTAGAACAGTCCATGTGAATCAGAACAAAGTCCAGAGCATACATCATGTCTGGGTTGGTTCTTCTTTTCGTTGTGATCCTGGTATCGACAGCAAAATTGACATTTAGAACTAAGATTCGGAAATGAGTTGTAAAAGTTGCTGTAGTCTTATGAACTAGCTGGTGAGATATATCAAGCCGAATAACAAAACTCAAAACTGGAAAAAATGCTCAACGGAACAATGAGGGAAACTCACGTTAGACTTGGCAGATCATCAATGAATTGGAACTTAAAAGAAAATCGCTTGGGGGATTCATTTATAAATGTGATAGATTCGACTATGTTAATCTTTGAGATCTGCATAGAAGGTCTTTTGCTTTCAGTTCTGCCTTTCGAATATTGCGCGCGGCTTTTCTCCAATTGGTTTGGAATTTGGCATAAGCTTGAGAGGGACTCGTTGCATAGAGGACTATACATGACGATATATGGGAGTTTCAGTCTGGTGATGTAACTCTCTTTGTTACAAGGAAATAGGACACCCCAAATGTATTTCATGTAGTCTTGCACAAACCTGACCACCATAAAGAAACTGGTGACGAACATAGCGTTATAAATGGCCCAGCTAATGTACTTGCTCTCGTTATAAGCTGCCGGTGCATTTCTGATCTTGTAACAAAGCCACATTCCCCAAATCAACAACGCAATGTCCCCGGCTGAAAATGGTTTGCACTCGTTAATCATGATTAAAACAAATCTTTTTTTTTTTTTTTTAGTGGAGGAAATGTTGATTGTAACTTTGGGTTTACTTGATTTTCCTTCGTCATTAATGGGAGAAGACCCGAACTACTTTTTCAACCAGTTAATATAACATTATTGTTTTCCACTTGGGGATGGCTGCGTGATTTTTACATGATGAGAATGGCACTTTTGTAATGAACCTCGGTAAGATCAGAACCTTCTTAACTACGGCTACTTTCTGTATTTAAACAAATCTGTGAGTGTGAATCATATTCTCAGAGAGGAATTTGAATTTTATCAGATCACTTGTAGTGGTCAGAATGTGCGGTTATACAAAACGAATAAAGGATTAACAATATGTTAAGTTCCCTCTGACTCTTTGTGATTTAATTGACCATTTTTAGAAGCGGAGCTCGTAACGCGCAGCGAAGCCCCATATCAATATTAATAATGAAATGATAATAATAATAATAATAATAATGATAATAATAATAATAATAATAATAATAATAATAATAATAAACGCTACTGCTTTTAAAATGGGAAAATTTATAAAAGACGTCCGAAATTAACCATTACTTGATCAGTTACTTACCGAATATGACCGTAAAATCAAACCAATTCTCTACACAGCGCGTAAACTTCAGGTCATCGGATGTCCTCGCCTCTTCAATGTCTGGCGGCGCCATTGCAGTCCATACAGTGAGATAAGCAGAGTATAACAGTACCAATAGACCTAACCGTCTCAACAGTACCCCGTCTGATAAAGTGAGCTTCTGGGCCGATCGTACTCGAAATATTAATGCCACCCTGCAAAGAACTAGCATCAGTCTTTTTGTGTTAATTTGTTTGTTCATATGTCTGTCTTCTATTTGTGAGTCTGTTTGCCCTTCCGCTTTTCTCGGGCTTGTCTTTATCTGGGGTGGCAATGGATTAATGGCTTTTTGCGGCTAATGATTAAAAGTTTCACAATTTTACAGCTAGCAGTTAATTTCGTTACGTGACGGTTAAGAGAGAAGTTTTTACCGTTAACTTTTTTTTCTGACAAACCTATAAAATGTGTCAGTTTCTGCGCCTAACGGCTAAATTGTTTTGCCGTTTTACGGCTGACAGTTAACCCCGATGAGAACTCCTATTGGCTCAGGCTGTTTCCTCAGTTTTCTTGTCTTCCTGATAGTCTTTCATTTTACTTTCGCCAACTCGTTTGTTTGTGAGCCTGTTTACTTCTCCATGGAAAACTACTTCGCGAAATGAAAAATACATACATACCTCCATGTTTTAAGTGCCAACGATCCATACACCAGAACGAATCCAATATGACGCAACCAGGGTCGTGCAATACAACGGAGGCTTGAAGGTTTGAAGTATGAAACGATGAGCTGGAAATAGACGCAAATAATCACGCTTAAAAACGACAGCGGAATAACAAGGTTATAAAGACGCAATTATGAAGGAGAATGCTTACCTTTGAGTACATTAACATAGCGCCTAACAATATTATTTCCATGAAGCGCGTGCTGGAGGCCTTGAAAATCTGAAAACAAAAAAAAAGCGATACACCTAGAAAAAAGTAATCAAAACAAAGACAAGTTCTGGAGAAGCTAATTTCTAAACCTGATCGTATTATTTATTTCAATGCGAATAATTCTTTTTTTATAACGCTGCTACACAAAATCTGTCTGTTTCTCCAAATAGAGAATAGGAAATTTAACATACCCTGTCATTCCAGTGTATTCCCACGCATACAGCAAATGCTACAGCCACACACATAACGAGTGCATTTAGAAAAAACAGCGGTAAACGGATATAGCTATTAGAGCTGTAAACGCATGGTTTGTCGTCAACACACTCGTCGCATCCAACACTGCAACGAATGCATTCGAAGTCCTCTTCGTAAGAGTTTGGGTCGCCTCGTAGATATCGATCGTGTTGGAGCTCAATGAGGGTTCCGTTAAAAGCCTTTACAGACGCCTGACTGTCAGGGAAGTAAAAGCCCCGCTTACATGTACATATGTAGCTCCCTCGCCTGAATCCTTGATTGTGGATTGCTTGACACTGTTTTAAGAAACGCAATAAGAGCGGTGGCCGTTATCAAGGTGCAGTTTTCTTTTCGTGTACTTGTCCTTCGCAGTCAGTGATCGTATTAGATCAATCCAAGAGAATATAAACGGAGAGAACTTATTCCCATCCCCAGTTTATGTTCTCTTGGTCAATCTTGAGCTGTTCATCTTACTAGCATTATACAGAGGTAAAAAAGGAGTCTACTCTTGAGCCAAATGCCTCACGCCAGTCAGAGCCTATCCCGGTTTCCGTCGCTTGAGGCGGGATATATGCCTATTTCTCCATGATTGAATGCCAGTCCATAATCTGTCCTTATGGATTTTTCTTTAGGTTTTCCTACTAATTTACTGCTACCCATCTTTACTTCCAGGTAAAGAGAAGCACTGTTGTCCAAGAACAAAACGCCATTACCTAATTCTCGAACCCTGACCTCGATCTCCAGTCTCCAGTCATATAAACCAGAGCTAAATCGTTGCTTACATTCTTTTTACCTTTCTAGAAATAAGACTCTTACCTCTGTTGATTTCTTGCAGAGATGAGTACCCATGAATTCCATTAAATTATCCGATGCATATCCGAGTCCTTTCTCCACTCCATCATCAGATTCAGAGGACTCCTGCTCGTCACACTGGTTAATGTCAATGTCGCTAAGTACCACATCGATACTGACCACACCCCTAGAAACCATAAAACAATGATAGCTAGAGACACTAATGTTATGGATAATGCCTGTAAGATAAATATCTAGAAATTTCTAGAATTCTTAGCCATGCTGATGTGCACGCCATGGAACTATCTGGAGCATTCCATTAGGTCATGTGGTAGTGAAGGAATACTACTAAAACAGTGGTGTTGTAAGGATCCAGAATAACTTGTAAGTGTGTTAAGGATTCAGTTGTGTAGTACTAATTGTTGTTGTAGTAGTCGGGGGGAGTGACCGACTGTTTAGAAAGCTATATACTAAGAGAGAGCTACTGTACAAGACTGTTCATTTCAAGGAACTCTGGAGACAACTGTGAGTTTGTGTGAGTGGTGAGCTAAGAAATAGATTGTAATGGGCTTAAATAAGTTTATTAAGGATAATTACTGTACTGCCTTTAGGATTCCATCTTTCTTATGAATATCACAATTCTCGTTTAAGAAAGTAGTTGAGTCTGTTGGATTCTAGTGGCCTTTCTGTCGATTAAATTATACCGTGACACCAATTGGACTGAAAGGTATGCATTTTTTTTAAATTTTTTTTTTTTATTAAAAAATGTTCGCCTTAAGGAAAAGGAAAAAAGGAAAAATGATGGTCTTGTAGAACAATTTTCAACCGAGTACCGAAAGTAATCCGGAATTGAATTGGTTTTGCTTTACTTCGTTGTGTGATTGGTCCAGAAATCTTCGCTACCCTCTCGACCAATTAGAAGTAAAACTTAAACCAATCACGACGTGGTCGCACGCGTTTTCCGCGTAGTTTGGTTCGTTTTACATTGAGATCTCTTTGGCTCTTGGCGGTTTTTTCCTCTCCTCTGATTAGTCGTTGTTATTAGTTTGGCATTGGTTTTAATACACTCAACCAGAAAGTGCTCTAAATGTATATGCTCGACCAAAAGTATAATTTTTATTAATTTTAATTATTTTTAATTTTACAATTTATAAATTTTTCTTCTTAACCGCTCTTGTCAGGGCCTTGAACGCACTAAATCCTATCTATATCTATATTGCCATTTAGTACTAACTTTTTGCTAAATATAAGGTCTTGGTACAATGCGACAATGATTGGGAGCATGCGTAGCGTTAGTGGCATGAAATGTTGGACTTAAAAAGAGCAATTTACCTAAAGGATCGATTTTGAGTGGTAGTTTTTAACTGGTGGGATAACACTAGTTTACTTTCGAAAGAAATGCAAATATGGTTTCGTTGCCAGGTGTAGAAAAATGAAAGACGATATTTGTATATTTACAATTTGACGTGATGACACCAGGTGCCAACCGAAACTAAGGCAAATATTAGTTATGTCATCTCATTTTTTTAATTTGGCGTGTTTTTCGTTTCTCTTTTTATTTTTTTTAACTTATATTGTAATATAGACTACTGGCATCAATATCACCACGTCAAGTCAGTGATATTTCTTTAGGCAAAGCTCGGTTGGTAATTTTTTTGGATATCTAATAATAGTGAGAGGAAATGTAAGCAATCATGGAGAGCACATCATTTTCATAATGACCTCAAACGACTAAGTGCCAAACTTGTAAATGCTGATTTCTCGGAACTATAAAGTCATTAGCCGATGTCTTAAAATTAAAAAAAAAAAATAGAACAAAACGGGAGTTGTAACAAATGGTGAAGTCTTTCTCAATGCAAGAACAAGGATTACTAAACTTTGTCTTAATGCCCAGCAAACTATAGCTTATCTTTGAATAGTCTAGTAATTTACATTTTGATGAAAAGTACGAGTTGCTAATCGTATGCAATCAAATGGAGCACACAATGTTTTTAAACATAGACTGTTATATTAAAGAAACAATGGTTGTGTCATATTCACGTCTAACCTGCCCATCTCAGTTCAACGTATTTACGTAGATGATGGAATATAGAACGTGAATAACAACTTGTTTATCCAACTCGGAATTTTGTTTTTGATAAGGTTTGCTTTCAAAGATAATGTTTCATTGCATTGTAGCATTGGTCTTTATCATCAGATGGTGAGCACTTGTAAACCAAGTCTCTCTCGCCAAGAAACACCATTTTTTGCAATTGTTAATTTTCAAATGTTTTATTAGCAATATTAGTTGTGTCGCTCAGCCGGATCGTTCTAATTTGATGCAGTCCAATCTATACGAAGAGAAGTGTCAGGATTTTCTATAAAAGTGACACAGCTCTTAATTTGGGTTTACAAATATTAAAATTTCTTCGCTTCGTAGGGGGGTAAAGAATATGGTTCCGACAGCTTTTCTGGTATAGAATTCAATATTGTGAGAAAAAAGTGGCACAGTATATAGAAAAGAAAAGGGGGAAAATGGGCAGAAATGTAAGACTCGATTATTCAATTATTATTCGATTATTCATTATTCAAAAAGGAAAATCTGCACAAATAATTTTAATTCCAAAATGTCAGTCAAAATATTATGTAAAATCAAACAAACCATAATGGAGGTGTACCCTTCACATTGTTCTATAACAATTTTTTTCAAGACAGCTTATACTGCTATCGGTGTAACTCGACTGCGTCACCGAGACAAGAAAAAAACTGGGGGAATATGCTTCTAAAAATTTTAAAAAATGTGTGAAATAAGCGAATAACTCATCCGAAGCAATCCTCTCTGCGTTATGTCTTCACTCTAAATTTTGAAAATGAGAAATGCGCACAAATAGCACGACTTGAAACAAATAGCTTGGGTTATGATACTCACAGGAAGTCGTCCGTTTCGTTGTAAAAAGGAGCGAGATAGGTCACCATCCAAACCTTTCCCCCAAAGCAGTCGAAATAAGGTCGCGTCCATGCCCCATCTTCAAATGTCACATGCGGGAAGACCCGTTTTTTTTTATCATCCGTGTGGGTTAAGTTGTATCGTACTTCATAATAGCTTGTGATGCTCTCGGGACGGAAAGTAAGTGCTTTTTTTTTAGGTTTGTGCCACCAAATCGCATTTTCGTCCGTCGTGTAGTCATAACCTTGACTCGCCGAAACTATATCTATGACATGAACACTTTTTTTTAACTCGGGATCCCTGAATGCATAGGGACAAAATCTTGTGTAGTTCTTGTACAAATAGTTGTCAAAGCAAATCACTGAACCGAAGACAGACGGCGAAAATAAAACGATCGAGCGCACGTAGTGGTACAGAAGCGCGTCGTTAGCTCCAATGGGATCACCGTCTCTTCCGCGCGAGCGCCACAGCGATGTCATAAGGTTAGCCACTTGTACCGTCAAAAGAGCTTCTTGCCTCCATCTCCTTTCGTCAAAAGTTATGTTCAGTAAATCAACCTTGTCACATGTGCCATTTCGTTCTTGAAGCTGTCGCTCGACGTTTGCGACTCTACGAAGTGCAATTTCTACGAGAGACTTAGTTTCGCGCTTTGCCTCATCCTCGGCGGTTGTTGTAGGTTGTTCAGCATTGGCGCAACATCTTCTTTGCGACCAAAAATCGTTACTGGCAATTTGACACAAAGTGATCATTACCAGCAGAGCCACACGAAACGATATCATCGTCAAGAAGGGCAAACTGCGTGTTTATCTAACACACGGGAAAGCAGAAGGCGGAGAATAGATGTTGGCCCGAGTTTCCACAGCATTAACCTCTGGGCATATGTTCAGCTTGTTGCCTCTGATTCGTGCGTTGGTGGGATTACAAACAAAATGAGGACAATTGTGAAGTTAATGTTGATTGACTGAACTCATTAATTTTTATAGAGTTTAGTGAACACTGAAAGATAATACTTAAATAGCCAAAGGCAACTCGTAAGTGGAGAGGCTACACCTCCAGTCAGCATGTTAAGTTTGTTTCCTTTTAAAAACTATCATTTTTGCTCCGTCCGTGCCACGCAATGGAATCAAATGCGTTTGAAGTTTCCTTTTAGTTCTGATTTGAATGAAACCAGAATTACCATTTGAGCTTCACGTCGAAGGCATGAGCGAACTTCGAAGTAATATTCTGAAAATGATATTCATTGAACTGTATCATTCTTCACGTGACGTCCATTATTTCAGATCGATGGGATATCATATTTCCTGAATTAACGACTCTAACCTGCCGCGTGCACTGGAGCTCCAATATCAATTTTAAGGAGTATCAGAAACAAGAATTGATACATTCGCTCTGTTTTTAATATAAAATGGTTTTTATGCAAAGAAATTAAGTATATCTATTTAAAATTTCTTTTTAAAACTTGGGATATCCACTTTATCTTTTCTACAACTGCTTGAATCGTCAAAAGGGATGTACAAGTTCCATTTTTTTTTTTGATGATTGTCTAAATGTTAAATTTCTTCGGCGTTGAAATTTTTGACCGTCAGTCGGTTCTTCCTATTTTTGTCTTAATTCATCCATGACTGAAAATTTTTTGGTGGCTCTTGAGTTGTGGTATGTTGACGTCCTAACCTGATCTTATTAGCTTGTAACCTTAGCTTGTAACCCCTCACATTTGATCACAGATACCGTTATTTAGGGTAACTTTAACATATGTAAATTACCTAAGTTTTTTCGATTTTTTTCACCTGCTTCTTCGTTTGAATGCAAAACATCTTGACGATAGTAATTGTAATGAGATGTCATACAGGCTTAACTTTTTACTTCTTGAGGTTTTGTTTTATCTTCGCTAAGGACGTAAAATACTTTGAGAAATGAAAATGAAAAGTATCCAAATATCTGAGTTCATTTTGTTAACTTTTGGTCACGGCTGAGAATACCTCGAGACATGGAAACTTTGGGGGTTTTGATTCTTCTGATTTTGGTTCCCCTCTTGTACCAAAAAAAAAAAAAAGAAAACCGGCCTTGGAAACAAGAGTAAATTCTTATTTGTATTCTATAACTCAGTGCCTCACTGATGAAATATTCATTTACGACGCACCTCCCGTGTATCTCTCACAAGAGTTAGCTCCCTGCAGGAATTTTTTTTAGTCAACTCGAGCCGCAAACCTTGATCATGTAAGCCGAAGAAATTCGCAAACTCGCGCTTACTTTTCATGCCGTACTCAGTATCATTTAATACCCAATTTTTGCAATCCTGTTCTGAGTTAATAAAATGTCAAAATTTCTTTAAGTCGAAGAAAATTGGACAAGGCCGAGTTTTTCCGAAGCGCGATTGGTTTTAATCCTGGTTTGATTGTTATGGCAACATAAACGTTTTGTATGTAGTTATCCCTAATTGATGTTTATTGGTTTTCGCTCAACCCGGCCCAGGTCTCTTATTGACGATACAATATTTTATATGCTATTTTAATTCGGTGGCAGATAAGCAATAGGACGTAGTTGATTTCGAATACATATGAAATTTATGAAAGATTTGCTGCAAGGGCAACAAATCCAAAAAACCAGAAACGGAAAAATTTAGCTGATTCGAGTCTTGATGTGTGGCTCATTCAGCGACTTTCACTAACCACTTAGGCTATGTCGAGGAAAAAATTATGGATTTGACTGAAGGTTATCGAGCAAATTAAACACCTTTAGGTTAAGGCTATCACTTAATTAGAGCTACCTTGGCAAATAACGACGCAATAACAAGTCAAGAAGTTAAACTAGCACCGCATTACATCCTCGTAGGCCTACGATCACCTCTCTACTTTTCTTAACATCATGCCCTGAAAGGGTTGACAATGGATGAAAGTAGATAATTGAGCAAGAGGTAATCAAAGATTAATGAAGTCTGTTCAGTTCTGTTTTTTCATTCATCAAAGTTCCCACAATGGTTGTGCATTTCGAGGCCGGAGTCATCTTTCATCGTTTTGTTACAAATCCAACTAAAGAAACCTTGAGGAAGCTTTACCGCTACGTGTTTACACAATAGCCATACAACCATTTTAGATTAGGTAGCGTGTCAAACTGAATCCGCAATTGAATACAGAGCTACGTTTTTTCTTTTCATCAATTACCGTTCAGCCAACCTGCAACTTGAAAACTGCTGTCTTGCTTAAGTGTACAAAAATGTTTACTGTGAACAAAACCCGTGAATCTAACTTAGTGCACAGTTACAAAACTGCGCGACGGTTTCCTTCAAACTTTGTCTGACTTCTCTGATCTTCCAGCAATAGAGGGAGGGATTTAGAGACGAATTTAGGTAGACTAAAGTGGCAGTCCCTAACCAGGTAATGTAAAGTTGCTTTTCATTAAAAATCCTCAGCACGGTTACGATGCAAAACGGAACGTAACAGCCCAGCAAAGTCACCTGAATCCAAAAAATGGCGGACACTGTTGCTTTATAGCGTTCTATATTCAGACCAATTTTTCCCGCACTTGGTTGTCCCTGACGGACTTGTATTTGAATCTGACGATGGCGTAACAAAATCTGAATCTTAGTATAAGAAAATATCGAGGTCAGCATACAAAGCGCAGCACAGATGGAGGCAATTATCCAAGCGATGCGGGAGCTCCAGATCTGTAACGAGCCACACGAAACACCGATCAGCCAAGAAGACGCTACGAACGCTCGAACGCGACTCATTGTAACAACCTGTCTGTATCGCAGCCCTAGATACAAGGCTAAGAGTCGATCAACACTGATCGCTGTCGAGGTAAGCACTGATACCCCACAAAGCGTGATACTTACATAAGGATTTATTTCCTCAATGTAAAAAGTTGCTCTTGTGTCCATCTTTGTTAAAAGAGACAGCAGAAAGGTCGCATGAAATGGCTGTAAAATTAGGCCCACGAAAAGATCTGTGACTGCCAGTGATTGGAATAAAAGTTTTGTCGGCTTATGAAGCGTCGAAACTTTCTGAAGAGAAATTAGGATAAGGACGTTGCTTAGAGACGCACTTATCGAGAGAAAAATATTGATGGCTGCGATACAAGCAATAACACTAGTGCGCCATAGTGTTCCTGGGCTATCTGGTGTAATTGCGAAGTTTGCCTCGGTAGTATTTAAGTCTGTCATCGTTCTTGCGGTTGGTCCCACGGTTTCGTTCATCTTCTGCGATAAATAAGAAAAAGACCTTCAAGTACCAGATTCAAAGCAGTGAGTGGCGCTCATTAAAAGTGTTTTTATGCATATCACAGCCCTCGTTGGCCTTGACAGCTTTATATATACAGCTGCTGTATGCAGACAGCTGTAAGCTGTTTGCTCTGAACTTTTCCATCATATTTAATTGGTAGATAAAGAACAGGATGTAGCTAATTTTGAATACACTCATTAAAAAACAGATTTGCTACTATGACAACAAAGCCAAAACAGAAAATTCGGTTAGTCTTGATGTCTGGTTAACATAATGACTGTCATTAGTTAACTACTTAAGGTCCCTAAATAATAAATGCTGATTCTGAAAAAAAAAATTGGAAAAATTAGTTGGTCGACTTGACTGACGGTTATCGATTAAACTAAACTCCTCTAATTATGTTCCTTCGAGGGCGATATGTAAATGTCAGTAAAAACCCCCCAAAAAATTATCGCCAATTTACGTAAATGAAGATTTTAAGAAATCAGATGTTATCACAATCAATGTAAGCGGGCAAATAGGAAACTGTCCTCTTGCCAAAGGCGCTCAACGGGCCAAAACTTATCGAGGGCTGGCTTCTATGAGGGTCTGAATAAGGGTACTTCGATAACACTAAACACTTATTTTTTTGACTGTATAACATTAAACAGTTAATTTTCAGCTATTTTAACACTAACATTAAAAAATTCGTTGTAATTTCGTTGGGGAAATATCTATGTTGGGCCTATGTTTATTGTCTCAAAGAGGTTTTTTTGGCCATTTTCCAACAATTCGGGATTATTTCAAGACTTCCGAAGAGTGAGGGAGATATCCGAAAGCTGCCGAAGATTTCCGAAAGCTGTCGAAGATGTCTGAAGGCTGCCGAAGATGTCCGAACACTGCTGAAGATGTCCAAAGACTGCCGAAGATGTCCACTGAGACTGCCAAAGATGTCCACAGACTTATGACCGACGATATTTGAAGACTACCGCAGATTTGGCTTGTATAACTCATAACAATTCTATTCTTAAAGCGCTTTTACACCGAGGATTCACCAACCGTGACCACTTAGAGAGAATATATTAGTAACAAATCAGATTACGATATTCAAATCAAACAGCCAATGAGATAGAACATCGAAATAAACAGTAAAATTAAGCAAATTTACGGACTGCCATCCGTTGTATGAATACCTCAGTATGATTGGTTGGCTTTGTGAGATGGTCCCAGTTGGTGTATCTGCACTGTAAACAAAAAGAGATGAATACGAAAATTACAAGGAAAATGAGAGTTAACATATATGAGTGTTTAAATTTGACTAGTAATGAATGCAATAACAGAATATTCTTTTACCAATAAGATCGGCTACAGTGCTCACAATGTATAATGGTCAACAAAAATGAGACATGTCACTCCATCCTGGCCAAAAACATTTGATTATATTCCATACCTGAATAGTCCCGATTGTCCCAACTGTTTCTAGAGATCAAGGCGGAAATGAGCGCGGGTGGTGCGACCAAATCTGCTGAACGTTATGTCTGTATCATTATCCGCATCGATCTCCGAGTCGGTGTCGAATTCATCCTGTTTCTCGGGGAGGTCTGTCACGTCACCAACTGCGACAACTCCGAGCATGCTTTCGTCAACAAAGGTGATTCTCGGTACTTCGTTTGTAGCTCGCGGAATATTTGTATCCTGGTCGACTCGTTCTTCATTGTCTGTCCCTGGATCATCTTAAACATCCTCTTGGAATGTTATTCTAGTACACAATGGCGTACTGGAATATACAGCTGGCGGCAGGGCTCCCGCTTTGTCTTTTGTTGATTCGCTTCTTACCGTCCTTGACAGGTCGATACCTGTCAACCAATTCCTTCATGGCTGCCTCAATGTTGGGGTCAACGTTATCAGCTGGAGGAGGTTTCATCAAATCTACGTCCCGTAACTCCACACTGGATTTAGGCACTGGATAATAAGACTTCTCTAGTGTGAAGTACTTCGCACCCACTTCGTTGTTCTCTTTCAAGATTCCTTTGAAATTGTTCCAAAGTCTTGAGCATACTGAAGAGCGGTGAAAGTCTCGTTTTTGAAGTTGGAGACTGCATGAAGGTTCTCTACCTGAGTTGTTAGGAGCGTACGCAGGTCAATGTCACCAAGATAGTCCTCGTTTACATTCTTAACGTTATCTCGTAGCTGTTCCATACCTCTTTCGAGAAGCACCAATGACTACCGTGTTTTGCTGGAAACAGTTCCTTCAGGGCCATTTATTGTTGCCGTTTCTTTCATTTTATAGTGCTGCCTTACTTCCGAGAATGTCTTTTTAATAGAAGCATTTACAGATGAAACATTGCACACAGCATCTTGAAGAGATAATTGGACCACGTCGATCGTATGTGCACTAATTCCAAAACTATCATAGAGACATTCGAGATTGTAAAGAAAGGACACTTTGTCAGTAAGCCCCGAAGCTAGTTTGATTGTTTCAGAAGCTATATCGGAACCAAAAATATTTTCTACAAGCAACAGATTGCATGAAATTGTGTAAATGAGCAGCTTTCTTCAGTTCCATCAACAGTTCCTTCATGGCCAGTACCCAACAAGGTCTCGACTGTTGCACTTAAGGGATTAAAGGTCTTAACCTTTTGATCTTTGTTGTCGGTGAAAACAATGTTGCCCTCATAACCATACAGCCTCCTGATTTCCCTACAAGAATCTGGAGAATTCCGCAAGAGTCGCTCAACATTGAGAGAATCGAGGTTACAACCATATAACCCTTCAGCTGCGCTAGTTGCAGCCAAGTATGCTGATTGCCGCAGAACATAAAGAGATTCAACATTTGTCACGTCATTAGAGTAGTTTATCTGTCTCAGCCTACTACCGATGATAGCCACTCCATTTTACTTTAACTCCAGCTGCATTATGCTTCTCTGCTCATCATCTGCACACAAGAGGATATCCTTACTTGCCGCACAGATGGAAGTTGATTTATTTAAAGGTGGGTTAATCTGGACAATTTGTTTATTCAGTTCTCGACTTGTGCAGCTAAAGATCTCAGATGTGTCGTCAACCGCTTCTGTAGAACTGGACCTGTACCCTCAAGTGACAATCCGAAACGACTAAGCTGCGAGAGCAAATCAGCTCGCGATTTTAGGCGTCCGGGTTTGAAAAGTACTTCGCCTTTCAATTCAATGAAACGGATTGCTGATGAGCCTCTCTCTGCAACGAAGACTGCGCCATTGGTAAAGCATAGGTCCCGCACATCCTTAAATACTTCCCTCCGAACATTTACATCGACTGGTCGGTGTAAAAGCAGTTCTACGAGACTATCGAGAGTCGAAATCGTAGTCTAACGCCAGTACTTTGCCTTGGGGCCCAATTTAAAATGCAATTGGTCTTTTGCAAACACTACTTTGGTTGGATTTCCAGAAGCGATACTTTTCAAGAACTATTGTATGGATTACCAAACGTATCCCCTTAAGTATATCCAGTACTGAGGGTCTAGTAAGGCGCATTATCGGTTCTAAGGACAAGAGCATTTCAGCTTCGGCTCACTGTTCGTGAGTGATTTTCTTGATTTTCTTGCAGAATTTAAAAGAGCAGATAAAATTTGAAAATCCTTAAAAAAAACTTTGGGGTCTCCTTTCAAACACTAAACAGTATTTTTTTCAAGAACAGTAAACATTAAAAAAAAAAGCCAATTTAACAGAAAACATTAAAAAATATGGACAAATAACACTAAACACTAAACCCCATTCAGACCCTCTTTTATTGCACAATCCCCCCTCTCCTCACTAAAGAAAAAACAAAGAGAAAGGAAGAAAAAGAAGAAAAAGAGAACTTCATTTTTCTGCCATTTCAATTTTCCACGAGCAAGGAAAAAAAGATTTTCTAATCTTTATAACATTCTTAACAGATGATCAGGTTCCTGATTGGTCACTGACGAATGTATAAGTACGTCATAAAGGGGTTTCTATATGATACTTTGTCGAAATTAAAGCTCTTAAAGATTGATAAAATATATATATATTTTGAAAAAAGAATCTACAAAAGAACTTGGTTTGATTTCCACTATTAATGGTTACCTATGAATTAAGAGAAAAATTACAAGAATTTCCCAAACCATTGAGAAGTTATTCATATGTACCAGAGATGCACAAAGAAGAGAAGAAGAGAGATTTTCCTTTAGATTATGATGAACAACAAATCATTAAAACTGCTTGCACATTTCATAATCTATGGTCAATCGTGAAGTTTGAAAGGTTTGCAAATTGCATTCGCTCACGTCTCAAGCAATCACGAAAACTTTTCTAACATGACTGGCGCCCTTAAAACACGAAATGCTTGCGCAGTTAATGCAATTTCCCAAACCTGTCATCAAAAGAAATGCCCCATTTTTTTCCCTTGAGGCTATGTGTTACCCTCTAACTTTAGCCCCGATGATGAAACAGCAAAAAAAAATTCATCAGAGAAAAAAGGAAGCATTATAGTCGCCAAGTTACACTTTCTGTGCGGGTTTTCGGTTAGCAAACAAACAAAATCTGCTCAAAGCTATTCACATAAACTCTATGAATTCTACTGTGCCGTTACAATCAAAGGCATTGGGAATCATTTCATGCTGGTGAGGCTGGTCAAACGCATTTAAGAACAATCATGGAAGATAAGGCTTCTTACTCAGCGACTGCAGGGCGCAAAAGCAAGTCACAGTAGCATCTAGAAGGTCTTCAAAATGGACGAAGCTACCCGACGACTTTTTTTCTTCAAAAGAAAATATTAAATGAAAAGTCGTCAAAAGAGGGAAACTGTCTCCTTAGAAGGCTATGCCCCAAAAGAGTGTATGAAATAGATAAATAAATAATAAACGCAAAAAGAGAGAGGATAAAAAAGGAATCCAATTTTTTAATTCTTACAATCTGATCAATAATGTTTTTTTTAATAATTTAATATTTACATCAATTCACATGAAGTAGATCATTCCATGTGTATTTACATTGTTATTTAAAATATCTTAACCATTATTTAGTTAAAAAGGCAACCTTGAATTGAAAAATTCGGCTTCAAGCGAGTCATTTGAATTCCACTTCTTCATTTAACCCTTAAACTCCGAGGTTAGTAATTCTCCTTACTGTTAGGCATACAATTCTTTACATGTAAGTTCCGAGAATTTGATACTAGATCAATTAATGATTCCCTAAAATTGATAATTTTCTTCATTCTCATCACCTGTGTGCATGATACTGTATCGACATTGTAAGGAGAATTGCTGTCGTGGTCACTCATGGGAGTTAAAGGGTTAAGGTGTTAGAAAATTAATATGATGCTAAATGACTCCCTTAAATTCTTACGTCGGCGAAGAAAACCGTTATTGAATGGAAATACTTAAGAGCCTTGATAAGACGAACAACCAAAAGAGCTCTCGAGTTCAACTTTAGCTACGAATGGACTGAATCAGTCCATCAATTGTAGTACAATCTCTAGATACGTTTGAGGGTAGTAGGAAATTTGCGCTTCATATAAATATATTTTTTTGGTGTAATCTACTTTCTGTTGTCAATATATGAACCATCTTTGTAAATTGTCTCTTTCGAAGAATCTGATATTTTTCAATTCTGTCATTTTTAATTTGTTTTAAACGTACCATTCCTTACTCATCCATATTATTTCTTTTTAAATTTAATCAATGTCTTTTCCATTTTTTTTTTCCATTCTACCGAACCATTACTTCGTAGCCTCTATCAGTTTCCAGGCAGGTTAATAAGTCGTATAAAACAACTCAATGCATCATCACGCAGCTTTTTTGAACACAGCAGTCGATCGTCTGCGTATATCGAATTTTACAATAGCTGGGTGACGTGCTTTTAGGCTCTAAAAGCCAAATAGTAAATCAACAGGATACCTGTAATTAAATAAGTTTGGTTTTAGAAAATTCTATAGTTTTATCTTTCCCTATTTTGATATCCTTAAACAGATTTCAATGGATTTCTCAAATTTGGCGTGAAAACGGCTAAAAACCTATGTTTTCATTCATCTGACACCTTTAATCGAGTACACCCTCAAATACTTCCTCATCACATTAATAAAAAGTTCAGTTGTATAACGAATACTTTTCGACCTCATTTGCTCTGAATTTCACCCCAAATATTTAACCAGTGTTTTAATGGAATTGAAAGACAAATACTGCAAGCAGCACCTCTAAGTTTCTGTGGTTCGGCACGTAATTGCGAGGAATGTCCGTCGAGCAATTAATAAACATATTTTTCTCGTTTGGATTTACGCATTCAAAGCTAAATGAGATCTCTCTTTGTCACCACTAAGCTTCCACATTATTACTTCTGAAATATTTTGTAAATTGGGGTTTATTTAACATACTTTAGTTACTCCAATTGTTAATGTTCGTAAAAAGGCACTCATATTTAGTCAACCTGACGTTATGGGCATACGCCTCATTTGAAACGCAACGGTCATCGAAAAGCGCAAGTGGAAGTGTGCCTAGTTCCCACTCTCAAACACGCGAATTTAGAAACCTGGTGCCTGGCAACTTGGAAATTCTCTTGAGAGTACCGTCCTCCAAATCGTCGTTGGTGGAGGAGCGCGCTCGACATAAACTGTTAGTTCCACTCTTGATGTGTTTATTCTTATCCTTCATAAGACGGGAATGCATGAAAGCTACTTTTGAAGACAACCTCCTCACTTCATCCTGCAGAAAAAATTAAGAGAACGCCCATATATTAAGGTCCCCGCCATCGCGCAAAATATTTTTGTTTCTCTGTGGCGCTGCGTCAGTGAGTTACAATAACAAGGTAATTTGGTATTATAAACTGAGTTGATAACATAAATTGGCTACCGGTAAGAATTTCAAACCTGACGTTTTGAGCGTTTACTCCTCGTTAGAGTAATGACGAAAGGCTAACGCTCGAAATATCAGTTTTGAAACTCTTCACTCTTCATGTGTATTGCATAAACCGTAAAAAACCGGTTTCGACCACAAGAGCTATTGAACCACGCAGTTGACGATATTGCTATTTTTTGGATAAGAATTGAACAACACTGCTGCTAGGTAGGCGAGCGATCTCACTTTAACGTAATTCCTGCCACCCAAACTGACTTGTTTTGGGCTCACTAGTCGCACCTTATGAAAAGGTTCATGGGTATAACATCATACATCTATTATTACCTTAAGGTCTTTGTTTTCCCTTTCTAATGTTGCCACATCAGTTGAACAACTGCCGTTAGGAGTCTGGGACGAGTCACTCGGCTGACGGTCCGCGGTTAGTCGCCGGTTGACCTCTTTTCCGCGCATCTTCCGTAAAAACCAGAACTGTTAAAAATATGTAATAATAATAATAAATAACTTTGACTTGTTAAAATAAGGGCACTTTTTATCCCGCCAGAGCAGGACTTTAAAAGGGTCAGATTACTTCTGAGGGATAAGTTACGTTTATTCCCCCAAAGCAAACATTACAAAGAATAATCAGATCAACACAAATCAACACAGGACAAGTAACACATGAAGAGCAAAATGAGATTGCATAAAATTACGAAAAACAACAAAGAATATTACGGACATTTCGTATGCTTGCCTGTTCCACACGTAAAACGCTCTGAAACGGCAGAGCGAAAATCGAGGGTACAATGTACAATGTATCACAATTATACTTGCCTTTGGAACGAATAAGAACAGAATTGCAACGGAAGCAGTCATCTGAATAAGCATAAATTCCGTGGCAAAAAGAATGTCAGGATTGGTGTTGTCAGCAGTGAGAATCCTACGATAAAGAGACAAGATTAACCACGAGAAAAAACTACTGGATAGCAAAAAAAGAGTCCTTTTTATGTGCTCTATGGAGGTAAGATGCAAGGGCTCACTCTTTTCATCAATCCTCTCGACAACTTACCTCAACACGGCATCAAAACACGTGATAAATATGGCGTTGTAAACAGCCCAAGAAGTAAATCTAGTTTCGTTGTAGGCTGATGGTGCATTTCGAACGCGGAAGCATAAAAACATGGCACCGACCAGTAAAATGAGTTCACCTGTGAGGGGAGAAATTGGAAAAAATTACGTTGTAAAAAATAGCAGACGTATTTTGGCTGCAATTTCTAACATAATTCACATTTCTGGGCTTCGAGCGCGACCTTAGGAATCTCAGATTCCATTCAACGTGCAACCATATCAATTACCCGACAAGAAGTGAAAGCAACAGGGCAAGTTTCAATGGGAAATTTCTGGATCTCAAAAAGCATTCCTGTTTTCCGATTGAAAAATCCAAGTGGAAACATTTCCTGTGGAAGTGCCTCTTCCCTTCCAGAAAGTTTCACTTGTTCCAGGTCTCCCATGACCACATCGGTAAACAAGAGTTGATACTCACCAAACAAGCTGACGTAATTCATAACACTGTACTCGCATTGTTTAAATCTCAAATCGCCTGTGCTGTGCTTCACTTGTGGGGGCATAAATAAAGTCCAAACGATGAGAAAAACTACAGCGGCGGCGCAGAGTAAAGCTAAACGACCAGCTATCATACCGTCTGTCACATCAACTCGCCTGGGAGATCGAGCACGAAATGAAACCGACACTCTGGGAAAATAAAAGCAATAAGAGCTAGGGTTAATGCTGAGTTCAGTTGTTGATTAAAGAAAGGTGTTGAACATTTTTCACGAGTGTGAACGAAAGAAAAAGCTGAAATGCTGAGAGGATTCAGACCTCAGCCCACAAAACCATCATCACCAAACTGAATTAACAACTACAACAAGAGTTACACCACCACCACTAACAACAACAACGACAACAACAAGCTAACAGTCTTACTACCTCCAAGCCTTTAGAGTAAGAATTCCATAAACAAGAAAAAAACCACATTTGTAAAGCCACACTTCTATGGTACAGGACAAAGAGGAGGGGTCCACATACGCAGCTCCTAACTGAAGAAATAATGTTCACCATTAAGTACTGTAGTTTTCAATAACATCTGTTGCTAGAATAATGACAGTGATAATGTAACCCCTAAAACCCTTAGAGTGACCACATCTAATTTCTCCCTGCTGCAATTCTGCTGAATCATTCATCAAGATAATGAGAATAAAGGAAATGATCGCCAACCCAAGAGGCTTTTATTGTTAAACAAATTCTCCTTATCAGCACCAAAGCAAATGTAAAGAGAAGAGTTTGGAGAATATGGATACTGATGTTAGGATGTTAAGGGTTAAGAGAAATTATCATAACTAACTGCTTTTACAGGTGAAATACAGCATGAAGTGTATTTTACTCTTTTGACCGCCAAGGTATTCTCTGAGCTAATTCTCTCGGCTGATGACCGCTAATGTTGCATCACGGTAATTTCTACAAGTTCATCATTTCTTCTGCCAGCTTGATCATGAGTTACATACTAAGCGATCGTGGGAGAAATCTAACATTTAAAACATATTATCCAAGTCATCTTACCGACGAATACATCGAGATGGCACCAAAAAGAAGAATCTGCAGAAATATTGGACTGGATACTTCAAATACCTTTAAAAAATAGCACAAAAAAGTCTCTGATGATTTATCAATTTTGTTAGCGTTGCAGGACGAGCGTTTCTCCGCCCGTGGGAAGATTTGAGAAGGGTCAGGTGGAGGTTTGCCGGGAGTCAGGCATTCATTTTTAGTGCTAGACTCTTGAGATCTCTCACCGCTTCGCCTAAAAATTTCTCGCGGGCAAAGAAAAGCTCGGGCCGAGCGCCGATAATGAGGATCCGCTCGCAAGCTACACATGTTCAGACTTTTGACCACGCTCAGCAAAATACCATCCCTCTCTATGACTCTATATTATTATTTTTAAGAATGCTTTTGACATTGTTGGCTCTAACAGCAAACAGGACGTTTTTTTAGCATAAATTTAGCAATAGGATAAGTCCGTCGACCAGACAGCGGGCTTGTGAGAGGTTTCCTCCCTGCGATTCCCAACAGTGCACATGCGAACAGTGTGGATACCTTACACTCTCAGACATAATTGCAGGGACACTTTATTTGGAACATCACCTGTGCTTATCTGTAGGCTTTTTCCCCTTTCCAAAGATGTCACTTGCCAGTTTGTACACTGTCATTCGGAGATCAACCTTGAGAGGGGCAGGCAAGGCAGCAAGCGCCCTAACAAATGTGTCTATGAGTGAAGGTCACCCATGAGCTTTTCGTAGCGCAGTTGATAGAAAGACAGACTACTTAACTGGCTGGGGATTCTTTCATAAATATTCATCATCTTTCTACGCAATATTACCTCACTTTCTCTGAAGATGTATACTACCAGTCCACTGACTATGGCCAGTATGGCAGCCAAAGTGTTTATACTGATCAGAACTACTCGCAATATCAGGTTCACTTTATACATACAGGGACTGTCGTCCGAGCATTCATCGCATCCTTCGCTACACGGCAAACATTTGAACTCATCATCATACAAATTCGTCTCTTCTTTAACTTTCTTGTCATACTCCTCTTCAATCTCACTGCCGTTAAAGTATTTGGTGTCGGAATTGGGGTGAGGAAAGTAATAGCCTCGTCTGCAAATACAGCGATAGCTGCCTCGTTTGAAACCTTGATTGGCGATCGGTTCACACTGCAAGAAAAGAAACTGTTGCCTAACATATCCCCGAAAATTTAAGCAACGCTGCCTGCGCGTCATCACCACTCAACAAACAAGGTGAGATTCCAATATATTGTACTCGACATTTCATGATCTCGATTCGAGAGGGTTACATCTATCGTTTTCGTGAGGCCCTGTGATCGGTTTTCTTTGTAGATGGCGCCAATTTCTGTTGACGCACTGTAAATCACGCCGCTCCTAAAGAGCAGGGGTCCTCTTCTGAAGGGTGGGTTTGCATTATGAGGATAAATACCAAGGCTACGCATAAAAGAGCGGACGGAGAAGGAAAAGCGTATTGTTTCTTGCTCTTCTCCATGTTCAATCAGTTATCGTCTACCCTTCGGCCTTAACTGGGGGAATGTGAGATGGCACCAATCGCGATCGTTCGCCAAAAATACGCTTACACCGCCCAATTCACGCTGGGAAAGTTTGAGTCCAAGTGGATTGCTTTTTGAGTATAAAATTTAACTCAGAAAGAATCCAAAGATATGAAACTGAATCTAGTGTTGTGTCTTACCTGTGTGGAAGGTTTACATTTATGCGTGCCTAAGAAGTCGAGCAGCTTTCCAGTTCTGTCTCTCGTTCCTTTCTTCCCTCTGTTTCCTTTAGTCAAAGTGTCTGGCGCATCACACTGATTTATGTCGATGCTGCTCAATTCAACATCAATGCTTACAACACCACTGAAATAATAACGATTGAAAAACCATTAATTAACAATTATTCGCCTCAGGCTCAGTGAATATTGTTAAATGATCCCCGTGGCGAAGTCGGGGGAATTATTCAACAATATTCACTGAGCCTGAGGCGAATAATTGTTTAGTTATAATTGCTAAGGTGCTTTCGAACTCTGTCGTAAATATTCGTCTGATGTTGAGACTATTCTGTTACACTGTTTTGATTACTCACTATCGAGATAAAGAGCCGGTTTTCACTAGTGTTTGATTGGTACATTTAATTCAATCAGCAAAAACTTCATATATTTCTTTTAAAAGGTGTTACTCCAATCTTAATAGCATCCTTTGTGCTCCTCGTAATTAAATTTTTCTAATAGCGTTCATCACTTCCTCGGTGACACTGACAAAACACAAGGCAGCCATTTTCAATTTTAGCGCTCCTGCTATAATCACCTCGCGCGAGGACCGGTGATTCTAGCGAGATACGAGGCAATCCTCGACCAATCGGAGCGCACACATCTTAAGAATCACAAGAGCAATTATGTTAAGAAAAATTATTTTTAATTCCAGGGGTGATAGTCGGTGAACTATGGGTATGCCTAATGCAAGAGGTGGACAGTGTCACACGCTCGTGGCCTACGGTAAATCCAGCTGTAAAGAAGAACGCAGTAAATTTTGACTCAATACAATACAAAAGAGTTGATATTGTCATTACTCGGCGTCAGTGGCGATCCGAGGATGTCACCAGTTACCCATGGTAATCAAGGGAAACCTGTGGTACAGCATGCGCTGGTTCCCATTTTCATTTTTGTTTATTCCACGCCGGATTTTAAGTCTTTTGGTTTGAAACTTGTGCTCTTAACAAAAGTCCTTCAGCAAAATAAACAAATTGTCCCAAATACCTCTGTTGACTGAATGATAATTAACTATCAAACTTGTGGAAAAAAGGCATTTACATCCTCTGTTTCCTCATCTGGTTGTCAAAACCCTACTTTTTAATCAGTCGGGGCTGGTTGATCAGTTCTGTAGTTTCCTGCGCAAATAATTTTTGTTTGTGTCGTTACAATTAGCATTTAAAATTTATCGAGTTCCTTCAGCATTTTCACGGTTGCATTAATTCAGTTACCAAAGCATCAGTGCAGGTACAGTCTAGACGCATTTCTCCTCAAAAACATCAACAATTGAATTGCCCAGCAACGGGGGGTGATTTTGATATGAAAATTCTTAGATTAAAAGATAATTTTAAAAAATTACTAAGATCGCAAGTACACAAACGAAAATGAAAACATAATTTCAAAATTTCATATGTCAGCTTGTGACACGTCAAACAGTCACTCAGCATCTTAAACAAAAGAAGGATACCAAATTGTCACCTTAAAAGAGATTCAAAATACAGCTTTATTTTTTCTGCTGTAAGAGTATTGACGAACGAAATTGTGAGTCAATAGTTTTTCTCTTATCAGAAAAGTTATCATTGGAGTGGACACTTTGCTTCACTTTGACGCTGCTGTCATATGACTATTTGCGAATCACTGCCTTTTAGTATTAATCACAAATTCGTTTGTCTCAATTGACGGAAAGTGAAATGGAATAAATTTAAAGACGAGATATTGTCTTGAGAAAACAACAAGAATTTTTTCTTACGTGACTGTTGATTGTGGATCAGGCCACTGTTTCCATGCATCCTAAAATAAATCTTACGCTTTAACCGGTTTCTATCAAAGCCCTAAAAATCAAAATGACGGGCTATGAATTTTGCAGTTTCTGTTCGTGACAGCACGAATACTGACAAGATAGCACTAACCTCAAATCAGCTACATCGAGTCAATTACGTGCATCACTAACAATCAACGCAATGCTTAAGCTGACATAAGCTCGGAGAGGATTTTCATCTGCATGTTTACGGGCGAATTAATTAACGTTCGATTTCCTATTTCCAAGTCGATTTCAATTAACGTGGCCTTCTTTGACCACGGCCACCTCAGGGGAAAGATGCTAGACAGTTCTGTATGACATAATGTTAGACAATTTGCTGCATAATCCATCTTGGCTACGTGACTAGGGCAAATGTCAAGATATCGGTAAAATCTGCTCGTGAGCAGAACTTACTATTACATTTTCATCTACTCCATCAGAGTGCGCTATTTGCCCTAATTGTTAATGACCTAAACTCGTCTTTCACACATAAATTCGTTGTTAAAAAGTTGTTTCATGCATAATGATAAGGTTATTAATTCTCCTCTCTTGACTAACTGAATTTCATGGAAGCAAGTAAGGAGAAGTTACGATGTAATCAATCTAGGGATCGCATTGAAAGAGGCATATCGTGAAAATAGATTCTCGTTTACCGGTTTCCAATTGGACACACGTATATCACGACCATAAGGGTTTTTTAGCTTCCTGTCTTGTTTTGTTTTTTTGAGCTTCGTGTTTTTTTTTTTTTTTTTTTTTTTTTTTTTTTTTTTTTTTAAAGCAAATCGAGACACTGAAGAAAAACTGTATGGATGTAGCCTTGAAATTTAACCTGTATCGTGGACAATTTACTTCATAATTATAAGTCATAACACAAATCAGTACTTTAAATTAAATTGGAACTGGAAACAATCGGAAGTTTCCACGCACAACATTAACAATTTTCTAGATGAGCACATATTCATAAGTCGTTTGTATCGACGAAGAGGGAGTCATTAACTGCAATGCCAGTACAACAGCGAGATACGCTTGATAGCGGATGATAGATGTACGCTACTGTAAACAAGAAAAGGTCTGCGCCAAATCAATTGTTAATTTTTACTAGTAGCAAACAGACACGCAAAAATGAAATGTGGTAAAATATAGATACTCACAGAAATTGGTTTGATTCGTTAAAAAATGGAGCCAAAAATGTGGTCATCCATATGTGACCTCCAAAGCAATCAAAGTAAGGTCGAGTCCAGTGACCATCCATATCGTAGCGAACAACAGGAACAGTTTTGGTGTGAGGCGTTTCTGCCGTCGTTCGATTCAGACGAATAGAATATATTTCTTCAGCGTTTGGGATTACCGTTCGATTCACATTTTTGGAGCGTGGCTCCCACCACCATATTGTCTCTGGACTTGTTAAATAATCATGATCGACGGCTATATCTTTTACATGGATTGAACCATTATAAGTCTTGTCTCTGAATGCATAAGGACAAAACCTCTCGTAGTCCCGATACTGGTTCTTCTCGAAACAAATCACTGAACCAAACACGGACGGCGAAAATCGAACATTTGATCGCACTATGTTGTAAAGCAATGTGTCATTTTCCACCATAGAGAAGCCATCCGCGGTTTTCACGCGCTTTAAAGATGTCAACAGATTTGCAACTTCGACCGCGAGCAATGCCTCGCTCTTCCAGCGAGCATTCTCGAATCCAATGTCGAGAATAACCGACTCATTCGATTGGCAGGAATTGTTTTTCGCCATACGTACCTTTTCCACGTTTCGCAATGCGTTTTTGAGATGATCCCTGTGCGTGTCCGAGATCTCTTCACCATGTTTGAGATTGCGGTCGGTGTTCGCTTCAGCAAATATAATCCCACGGCTCCCGTAATCAAAGCCTGCAAGAAGGAGATAGTAGACCAAACCCCAAAGCTGAGCTAATTTTGTCTTCATATCCTCAAATTCAGAAAATTATGGAGTCGAAAGAACATGTTTTAGACGATGGTTGAAACTGAAACCATCCGTGTGTGTCACATGCTTTCATCAGGTCACAGCACATCATTCTACTAACTTCCGAACTACATGTATAGTTACACTGGGTTTCGTAACGCTTTCTCGTCACGCTCCAAACGGCCTCGCGGGCGGTCAACGTCGTAAATAGTCCGTAAATTATTTTCAACTCTCTCACAAGACTTTTCTAATTGGCGAGAAAATACAAACACAATTGAAAATTGTTTCTGTGAATACATAAAACCTTTTTTTGCATATTCGATTTCCTGAGCTACTTACTAAGTGTACAAACGAAGCGTATTTGTAATCAGCGGGAACACAGCCGACAAGGTCTCGGTAATTATAACCATTTCACTGGACAAGAACCGGAAGTTAAGATAAGAAATAAACCAGCATGCTTCTATTACGGGTCATAATTAGCAAGGAACGTGTAGGATCTAGAAAGGCTTATTCTTGAATCGCCTTAGGCCTAAAAAATATGCTTTACAACAAATGAATTACATCGGGCTTCTAAACAATGAATTGATTACGCTTCGCATTCCGTATTAAGTGGGCTGATATATGATTCCAATAAACAGAAAGTCCATCTGTGAGAACCCTTATCTTAGCGTGTTCCTAGATGACCTGTAGTCACGTCGACTAGAAATTCCCTAATAAATAAAGACAAAGTCGACCTCCGCATGCCACTTTTGCTAATTACAAACAGGACAGATAGTAATTTGCGGGTACTAGAATAATGCGTTATTGTGTTCTTTTTTCATCTTTGATTTGAGTAATGAACTTGTCTCAACCTCTGCAAAGGCACCAGCCGAGAATTGAATTTCTTTTAATGGAGATTAAATCGCTTTCAATTTACTGCGCTCTTCCCCCTCATTTTATAGGCTAAATAGGACACAGGAAAATATCACCAAAAGACCTTCTCAAACGAATTCGAGTTTTAAGTTTTGAAACAAAACACAACACAATAAAACCGCAGTAAAACAAAAACGCATTACTTGGGAAATAACGCATCTATCATTTCATTTTCGAAGGGTTCCGTGATAGACTATTTATCAGCATGACCACAAAAATAAAAAATTTATTATAAGGAGAATTATATCACAATAAAAGGGAGGAGGATCCAAATTAAAAACGCACTGAAAGTTGCTAGTCAACTCAATTCATGTTGTGGCTAGTGCAAAATGAGTAATTCATTTTTTCACTATTTTTAGACTTTTTTAAAATTGCATTTTCTAGCCTACTGTATCAACTGGCCTAGAGCAACTTTGAAAGAAAGCCAAACTAAGCCTTTTTTTTCTTCTTCTTCTTCTCCTTCGTCTTTATTTATTTATTTATTTTATTTGTTATTTTCTGATGGCAATGGTACTTCGGCTGCACTGCACTGTGGGAGAGATGGCATCTGGGCTGAAATCCTACAATGAAAGGCTCGTTCTTCACAGCGGGTCCCATTTTTTTCTTTATTGTAAGCATATTATACATCGAGTAACATCTATCTCTAATGTACGCAGAAGTTTATTTTCATTTTAGTGGTTTTTTCATTTTCAGATGTCCTTTAAAACGAGGATAGCCTGTAGAGAATCGTACCGTTGGACAGAATCGACCGAGACTTTCCGACTACATGAAACCAGCCACGTAGACAGGCTCTTCTCGGTCCCCACTCGACAATGTTGGTTTTCCTTTTTTCAAAGTAATCTTTTTTTTAACCATGTGGCAGTTATTCTCCAGCCGATTACAATAAGTCCAGAATTTTTTTCCAGCGTTGTGTAAGATAAAAACCCTTTTACCGAGCGGACTCTGAGGTTTCGTGGGATCCAATGAGTGTCATCGAATTCGCCGTGGTTCAGTGGAGGATTGTTTAAATATATATTTATATCTCGTTGAATTTTTGCAATCTTTACTCTTGTCTCACCCGCTCCTCGCATGTCAATCGAAGCGAAATGATGTCACCTAGGGCGCATTTTAAAATCCAAAATGGTTACAACAGCCGAGCTGAGCAAAGGAAAATAGGAAATCACGAGGAGCCAATGAGAACTCTGAAAGCAAACGCGAGTAAACCGCGCGGCTGAAGTGCAGGAAAACGCGACTGACTAAGGCGTGACTGCTTTTAGCTTTGAATACGATTAGTTACAGGGAGTTTCTGGACCAATTACATCGCGAGCAGACGAGTTAAAGCGAAACTGGCAAAGCAATCTTGGATCACTTTCTACACTCAATTGGAAATTGCTCCTCTAATTAGTCTTACTCCGAGTTGTACCCACAGTTCGCAGGGTCTTCGTATTCATCAACCAAGAGGAACACAGCCAAAGCTTTTGGAAACGGTTCTTCACCTTCACCTTAAGTACAATGTTCACGGACCGGTTCTTTTGTCAGAGATAAATGACTCCGCAATAACGATGTGTTTTTATTACCACCCCCTCGGGGATATCAGCAATTAACTTCTTCCTCCGTATTTGCACGGTGGAAAGCGAGTCGCTTATCAAATTGTTTGCGTTTCCGATGCAGCTGTCATTTAAGGACGGCGGTCAGCGAAAAATGATATTTCCCAGATTGTTGACAACAATGTCAGTAAATTATGTGTAAATGTTATATCAAACAAAAACGTGTTTTAAGGTCCAATATGTCATAAGAATTTCCAAGGATGATGAACATAACCGAGTTTAAATGTACTTGCCATTTCTTTTGTTACAATCCCTGGATAAACGCCGCACTCCTCTCATTGGTTGCGGCGTTTTATTCGATAGCAACCTTTATGGATGATTTTCTTCTGTTTGTGGTATTTACCCAAGAAAGCGGCATTTTATTGGGTATATACGGCTATTCAAATCATAAATACAAATCATAGCAAACAGAGTTTAGATTTTTTTCAAGACTTTGTCGGCCACAAACCTTTAAGATTCCACGGAAATCCCACGGATACTATATGTTAATGACTATCACGAATTCTTCTTCAAGACTAAAATGGCTGAGATTTTACGCGACATTCTAAGTATTTTCAGAGTCCAAAACAATCTCCTTATTCCTAAGAAGTGAGTTCTCATGACAGAGTGATAAAAAAGACTATGAAATTTTGTAGTTCTGATGCGAGATATTTAGAGCTAATTTGAGAAGGGAGGATGAGAAATCTTTCGAAGCCAAGAGTCACTTATTCGAGTGACATTTGTTTCTTTGCCCTGTTCTGTTATTGTAAAATTCTGTATGAAAAATTATGTCACCAATTGCAGCGCTAATGTTAATTATTACAGTTTCCTGTGAAATGTGATTGGTGCATTTGCTGCTTTATTTCACCAATCATTCTGTATAGTTGTAATCGAATAGTGTAACCGGACAGTTAAGGCAGCGAATCATACTAAATCGACTCAGCTTGATCCACCAATTACAGAATTGAATACAATAACCATAGCAACCATATCTACAAAACTGGGGAATTCCAAAATAGAGGAATTTTTCACTTCAGACGATGTCTCTTCCGGAGGTATTTTACCCATTTTTAATTTTGCCTTATTTCCAAAGTTCGGAAGTTGTAACAGTTATAGTAATTGGTAACAGGACGTCGTGTAACTCAGTTCTGTCTGTAATCATACTCGTCATTAATAAATCGGACTCCCGATTTTGTAAATCACTCGTATGATTACAGACCGAGTTAGATTCCTTCCACTCAGTCCTCTTACCATCGCCAGTTAATCGAAACAAATTATTTTTCCTCTCACATTTTCCATCCAAATTAGAAAACGGATCAATGTATTTATTCCTCACGATCACCTTGAGCATGCGCATATAAAGGTCTTACTAGCGTACCGGTGATTTGGCCACCCGCTTCCTCCTCTTGTCATCTTTACGTGACTTGTCGAATTCTGCTCGGAAAATAAATAAATCTGATGAAAACAGCAAAACTGACTTTTCCGTGGTCGAACCGGTCAAAAGTGGGAAATTTTAAAATTAATCTGGCTTAATCTGAATAGGGTCTAAAGTAATTTATCCCTTCAGCTGGGTTGCATATAATACTACTGCATATAACCTATATATAGGTACGCCTCGTAAAATGTTAGTAACAAGCAGGTGATTTTCCAGTATGAGCTAATAGCCTGTCTGTTAAGCTATGACCTGGAGGCGTAATTTTACTGTGAAGTCTAACAGGGTAAACATTTGTGTTATCTCTCGCTTATTCGTCAATAAACTGGGCGAGTTCCCGTCGTTAGATTTTAAGTACATCATGGACAGCCTTAAGACCAGACTTTTAGAATGCATGCGAAACTGACTTTGCGTAACAATTGCTCATTATTCGTGGAGCTAGACTCTAGAATTCACTTCTTGAAGAGCTACAGAGCTGTTTTTCTGTATTGTTTTTCAAAGACATCTAAAATCTATCTCTCTTCGAGATTAGTTTCTACTTATACTCGCACTCCGAGATTCGCTTCCAGACGAGATACAGAACCTATTAGATCAGGCCATACTTTCTGTGTTTTCCTCAACATAAAACCTGGAATCTAGGCTGCTGAATAAGCAACTCAATTGATTTAGGTAAGATCAAGAGAAAAATATTTATTATCTCTTGGTTAGATGGCTTTTCATCCTTTCACATACATACAAGATAATAGGCTGCGAATCAGTAATTTCAAACATGTCAAATCGGTGATTCTAATTTTCCTTTAGTTTTGTTAACAATTTTGAAATATAGTGAAAGTTTTGTTTCATCTTGTCACGAGCGTAGGACAAAGAAAAAATTCTGAGTCCCCATGAGGAATCGAACCCCAGACCTCCGAATTCCGCGCTCCGGCGCTCCACCACTGGGCCACAGAGACTCTATGGTGAGCGCATTACGAAGTTCATGTGACAAGCGTTCTGCATCCTGCTAGGATCAGCAATATTGATAGCGTCATGTTTGTAAATAGACTAAGAAAGATGGTAAGCTTTGAGCTCTGTAAAGAAATAGTCAAAGATATTTTTGTTCTTGTCCCGAGCGTGGGACAGAGAAACATATTTCATTTTTTTAGACACTGTCAATATATGTGTATCTATTGGGGTTTTTTATATTGCTTTTACAATGGTTTTTCACCAGCCTTCAACCCTAGTTTATCAGAGATTTCTAGGAAAAAGTTTTAGTCCATCTATGCGGGGTTATAAACATGTTCGTTAGCAGAAATCATGCGATAAAATCAGATTATTATTATTATTATCATAATCCCATTATTATTATTATTATTATCAATAATATTCTCATTATTATCATGCACATGTTAAATTGCACCTGTTCGACGACTGATAAGCTCTGCTACATGCAGCTATTTTCGATAAAAACTTCGCATATAAAGGTTTGAAAGTTAAATTGATCGACGTGCGATTGTTAGTTCGTGGCTTTAATTGATTGGTTATATAGAGGTACTGATGGCTATTGACCAATGCGAAAAGGAAACTTTGTAGGAAAACTAATCTATATGTTAATGTAGAGGTACTTGTAGGCGCACAGGTGAGACGGAAAACGCTCAGAGAACTGTCGGCGGTATGTGCTGCTTGCATGAGTATAAATATTGCGGTCAAATGTTATAATGATCCAGCTCGCTTGATTATAAAACCAATTAAAACCGGAGGAAGAAGGAAAATAATGCAGCTTAATTATTCAAAATCGGAAGAAAGCTGAGCTTCTTTTTCGACGCCTGCGTTGATTGGAACAAAAAAATACAATTAAGCCAACTGTCATTTAAGAAAGAACGGTGCAGCTTAATTTATGCAACTTGGTTTTAAGACGCTAACGGCTGGTGTTTACCATTCATTTTAACCAATTTCTGGAAAGATGGCCGATCAAAGTTCTCCGGGGCCATTTGTGAAGAGTTTTCAAGGAAAGTCAGAGATCACTTCTGCTGATTTCCTGAAGATTTTCAAGAAATTTGATACAGACGGTGAGTTTTTTTGAAATATTGCCCATCAATTTGGAGAGCAAACAGTTGAAGGTTTAGCATGCGAGGCCGTCCAACAGTCGAATTTTTTCACGGCATAGATTTTCTTCCCACATTTCTCGCAAGAGTACATTATTTTTGCTCTTTTCGTCGGTAAACCAGATTGTTTAGATGACGAACGGCGTGTGCTGTAAAATTGACGCGAAATTTATAGGCTTAAATCAGCTTTAATGACAACTCAAAGAAAAAGAAATTCTGTAGATTTGAGTAGAGGCGTGAACCGTATAAAGGCATAATGCAGATAGAAAATTAAACACAAAGGTTACTGATCATTGGTAGGAATATGCAAGTCCGATGAAAAAGGAAACAAATTTTAAGGTACATCCATTCAGTCTCTGCCCTGTAAAATAGATACTTTATTTTAATGCAAATGTGCTTCAGTATCTTTGTTTCTCGGGGACACTGTGCTGACAATCATTAGCATAACCTAGAGCACAACAGTTCACCTCACTTGAAGAGAATTTCTTTCTCGCCACTGGGCCAAGTGACAAAAAAATAATTACGCTTCTGAGCTTGAATTATTCATTTCGCTGCGGTTAATTTGTCGATTCCCTCATAATTCGAAAAAAATTTGGGACTTGAATAAAACAAATAAACGATAATCCTTTCGTTCAGGCTTCAGTCCCACTTTATCGTTTTGGCTTGAAAATGCATTGCGTTTTCTGTGCAGGCAGATAGCGGATATTGCTAAGGTTAGCCATGATTTTAAGAATTAAAGGTTGTAAATTTTTAATGAGTAACAAAGGATTAACTTTCATCCATGATTCTTCCATGTGGATTTTAGTCATACGATACCCTTAAAAAGTTCAGATTTGCTAATACTTGCGTCCTTTGTACATAATAACTTTCTTTTTTCATATCAGGAATTAATGCTAATGAAGTTTACTATGATTTCGTGTTTTCACCACCACACCCATAGACGCATAAATAATATATCGTGGCAAAACAGGAACATTTTTAATTTATCAGGTTGTGCCGAAGGAAAAGACATGAATTGCCTCATCAACATCCGAGATAAACATGAACCATACAAAAACCCTTTGACACGACTGTTAAAAACCAATTAAAATATCTTTAAACTAGCTTCAGAGCAGTTCAGTGCCGTTTTAATGATATAATATTTGCCAGATCTTTTGAAAGTGTAAAGTCGACTTCTGTTGTTTTTGGGGGAAAATTGAGTCCTAAGCTGAATACAAGTTTTCAGATTGAAGAATTATGATAAAACTACGTCTCATATTGTCGAGAATGAACTGTCACAAATCAATATAAAAGAAATTAAAGATAAGCCTGTGTGCAATTGTTTAAATTCACGCACGTTTGACATGCAGATTATCGATTAATGTGTTCAGAGCTATTTCTCTGTCTCGGAAAAAGCTGTCAAATGTAGAGTGTATTTGAATTAATCTAGAACATCACCTAGGAGATGCAGCAAAGGTAAAAAAAATACGAAATATTAACATACGAAGCCAGGTGAAAAAAAGATGTACCATATTTTTTCCGATAATAACGCCTTTAGTAGCGGAGAGCCGTATGACAAATAAAGATGTAAGCTTCAAAGTAATACAAGAACTATGATAATACCTCAATGAAAAAGAGTGACAAATAAAAACAAAATCTATGAAGAGTCATAAAAGCTGTCATTCTCCTTATGCATGGAGGATCGAGTGTAAACACAACCAATTATGGTGTCAATTTGGCTTTTTTCGCAAACTAAAACAAAAGCTTTATATATGCTCGGACAGTACAAAATTATTTGTTAGAAGCGCGAATCTAGCGTTGGTGATCGCTTATTTATTCATTGAGGGAACATTTCAAAATATGTCACCCGTTATATGCGAAGTGTCAGCCATGTCACCAGTGCACTCGAGAATCGGAAGTTTCCAGAGAACTTACTTGTGCGATATATCGGAATAAGCTCTACGTGAATCACATGATCTCCTCTGTGTAATTAATAATTCATGAGCTACACCACGGTGTTAGGTCTACGTGTAGTTAAAATAAACCTACTTCACAGCATTTTCCTCGCATTTAATAACTTGCTGCTTTCTGTGGCGATGTAAACTATGTATTATCATTGTTTAATCTCTCCCTTTCGTTTACATCTTAGAAAATGGTTTTATCGATGCTGGTGAACTGGATGACTTCCTCGTTGCTCTGGCAAAGGAAAACAAAGGGGTACAACTTTCATTCTTTCATTTTCTAATATCATCATAAATTTTTGACCCAAATCTCGTTCGTTTTACCGGAAACGAAATCGTAAATGAGATATTATGTTTAATCCTCTGACTCATTCTTAAAAGATAGGTTTAAAGGGTCTCCAATAGCGGTTTAACGGCTTTATGACTTTCCCGGCCCACTACTCTGAAAGCCGTATAAAGTTTACAGAAGTAGATAGATATTTTTACTAAAATAACACTTTGCGGCTAAAAAACTGAATTGCGTGTATAAATTGTATGTGGATCTTCGTATTCTGCAGCGACACTATCCCAAGTTAAATCCTTGATGATTTTCCTTCCACATCAAGCGCTACTATATCAATATTGTGCCAGTCATAACATCTGTCTCAATCAATAGTTTTGCTTGAATAATGTCTGACTGTATTTCTAAGTTTTGTCGAGGAAAAAACAAAGACTAAAACACGACAAACAGATGGCGAGAAAATTAGACCAAAACGTCAATCTGAAAGATCACGCTTTCCCACAATTTCCTCTAGTCCTTTAATAGATAATAACGAAGTTTTTCTCATTGATACAGGGCAATCCAGACGCGAATGAAATTGCACAGATGAAGAAGACAATTCTCGAGAAATACGATGATAATTTTGATGGCAAACTTGATTTGGAAGAAGTAAGTTCACTATCTCTTTGCTTTGGCTGACTTCCACGAGGTGGAAAATCTCAAATGCACGACAATGTACTGTTCAACGACAGATAGACTCATTTGAATTCTCAGTAGCTTCGTCCTTCATGAGGACTTATCTGAAAAAAAGAAAATGAAAGGTCATGTGGACGAAGGTGCACAAGTCGACACGATAGTCTGCCATTTTAAAAACCGTGAATGGTTTTGGGGGAAGGTTTACAGGAATATAGTGCTCACGGCCTTCGAAGAAGGAAGGCTTAGTGAGTAAAAAAAATCGACCTCTTTGTAAATTGAAAGCTTTAATCAGTAGAGTAGTCCAGACGTACTTGAAATTTTTTTCTTATGTATTTTCTTAACAGCTAGCTAATATCCTGCCCACCGAGGAAAATTTCTTGGCCAAGTTCCAACACGCGAACACCTTAACTACTGTTGACTTTTTCAAGGTTTGAAAATTACCTTTGTAACTCCATTTTAGGCAGTTGATAGAAATCCAGCCAGCATCAAAATAATTTGTACATACCCTTATTTCCAGGTCTGAAAAACAAATGAAAAAAGTTGGTTTTAAACTACAGTTTATTTATTGTTTGAATTCGCATTTTACTCAGAGAATCTTGTTGAATCAAATGAGTTCTGTTAAGTTTCAAGTTAACAGTTCCCTTCCTTGTAAAAGAATTCACCTTTCTTTATTTGTTTAACCCTGTACACGCTAACACCAATATTTAAGTTCTCTAAAGAGAGCCTTTTGATATTGTGATCATTTCCCTCATTCTCATAAAATTGATATTTGATTTAGAGCTGATACCATTGGGAGAAATTAGATGCTTATCACTCTTGGGGTTTAAAGGATTAAGGTTTGCGAGAGGGACGCAGCATCTTAATTTACAGCGAAAGTTCAAAGGATCATTCTAATCATTGCTGACCATTTTTTAAGGTGTGGAACCATTATGATCAGGATCACTCAGGATTCATCGAGAGTGACGAGTTGGAGGTACGGATTCTTAAAATTAATCTTTAGGCGAATGAAAATTACAGGAGAAAATGGTCATAAGGAGTAGGCAATTATTTCTCGACGAGTGGTTTGAACAAAAATTTTATGAATTCATGAAACCTATTAGTTGTGAGCCGTCAAAATATTCCTACCCCTCTGGTGCGACATGCACGTTTTGAGTTTTTTTTTTCACCCCTACCGACAATAATCACCAAAAGAGGCCTTAACCATGTTTCTCCCAGTGTACCACTTATGTCGGACTTCGTTCAAAAACACGTTTCTCGCGCCGCTCCACCCACGCGCTGCTCGTAATCAGCAGGTTGTAACAAGACGCTGCTGAACCATATATGGTCTTATCTCATAACCATTATTATAATAAAGTTCGGATATAACGCGCGCTGTCACTGGTTGAAAGAGCGGGCTGTCGTTCATTCGTTAAACTCGCCTTGAGCAGTTTGTTTACTATTTGTCATGTGAAAACACTTACGTGTTTTTGTAAGCCACAATACGGCCGGATTTCACTGAACATTTCACCTCCACATTCTGTATTAAAGACTAAAAAACTTCAGACAAAAGTGTTAGATTCGACCTGCCAAACTATTTAAGTTTGTAAAAAATTGCAGAATGTGAACTTCGATGGTTTTTGAACTTTGATGGTTTGACATTTTTGACAGCTTTAGTCTTGTACAGTCAATCAGATTATTTGAACTATTACAACAACGATTCTGATTGGCTTATTGTATGATACTGTTGTTCGCTTTGGAATTAAAACTTATTTTAAAAATTGAAAGTAATGCGCGGGGAATTTAACGGATTCTTTATTATAAAACAAATAGAGAAGCCTTAACTGTGCTCTGTTCTGTTGTAAAGCACGCAGGAAGCGGCTAGAGCACTCAAGAAGTGGGGAGAAACGCTCGACTACGTCTCGTGTTTCTCCCTACACTTCTTTCGTGCTCGAACCGCTTCCTGCGTGCTTTACAACAGAACAGAGAACAGTCGAGGCTTCTCTATTTGTTAATCAAATAAAAATATATTATAAACTCCACTATTCTGGGGTATATTCAGATTCTCTGGATGTGAGGACCAGTGATTGGAATAGGCGAAGTTCAAAAGACAAGCGTATTCACTCAAACTTTTGGCTTCATGTTCTTCGTTAGGGATTCTTAACAGATCTACTTGGCAGAGATGGACAATCACTGAATCCTCAGAGAATCACTGATTATCAAAAGGCCATGGTAATGCAATAAACATAAATGATAACTCTAAGATTTTAGGCTTTCTTGAGACCAACCACTGGAGCCCTCTTCCATGTTCATGGGCTCCTGACCACCATGACTTTATTGATTATGGCTATATTAACATTACTCAAAGGACTTCATTTCAGTGTGTAATAGATTATTATGTTGGTTGCTATCAGGGTTGATTTCCTCTCATTCATTTCCGTGATGGAATGATGAGTGCGGGCTAATTTCATGAACGGTGATTGATCGACGTTTGACCGCTGTGTTCTGGTAATCGAGTTTTGCACTCTCTTTGAATATGGGCAGTCCCTTCTTTGTACTTTCAAAGTCATTTAGGATGAAGCATGCCTCACGTACCCCTTTTTTTTTCCACCCTGCCAAATTTACGCCGCATTGGAAACCAATGGAATTTTTCGTCTGTGCGGTTCACGTGATAAAGCTATTTAAATATCACAACGATGCTTTATTTTGAAAATAGTGATTTATTGGCTGAATGTCGCAACGTTTATGATTTATGACATTTTTGTTGTAGTTGGATTTGTTTGACAAAAATAAAGATGGAAAGTTGTCGTTACCGGAAATGTCAAAGTGAGTCAATATGTAACTTAACAGTACCTACTGGCTGGTATCAGTAAAATGGACCCTAAATTTTAATTGTTGATAAATTTTATGGGAAGACTATGGTTTTTCACTTCATACAGTATCCGTCCTACTTGTATTCCCTTTCTCTTCCCCCCTCCCCCCCCTCCCCTTCCCGCCTTGTATCGGAGGTCGGGAAGCTTTGAGCACCCCTAAGGAAGCCGTTTCAAACGCATGATGCAGATACTCAGGCGGGTAGCTTTTAATATGGGTTAGTCAGCATGTGTTCGAACAACGTTTGGTCAGGACCACAAGTATCCAAGTCAATAAAGTTAAAGTTAACACGGCAGCAATTCACCTTGGTGATAAAGTCCTACCGTTTGTCTCACGATGTGGTTATTTCGAATGTAGATGGAGAAATTCTCACTGCTGCTCTTCACCAATGACTAGGCATTCTCATGATTTATAAAATCATACGTAAAAATGCCACTCTTAGAAGTGATGATGTAACTTCTCCTCGTTAATACATGTACTATCCAGCACACAGGTAATGAGAATACTCAAAGTTATCGAGTAGAAGTTGTTATCTTGATCTAAAACCAAATTCTCGCAACTAATTTACAAAAACTGTACCGCAACTACGGGGGAGAGTGAACAATCGTATCTTAGGACTTAAAGGGCTAAATAGCCTAATGCAAGTTTTATTTTATGATATACAATTTTTTTTTTAATTTTATTGCAGGATACTTCCTGTTGAAGTCAACTTTCTGCTGAAGTTTGGCCGGGTAATAACTACTAAATACTTTCATAAATGAAGTTAGATTTGATATGATTGATTATTCAATGTAACTGTATCGGTTTAATTTGTGGTTTTGCGTGGATTTTTCTCAGGATGACATGACTGAAGCAAAGTTTAACGAGATATGGTCCAAGTATGATCAGGTAAGAACCAAAAAATGGTCCACAATGCTGACATAACATGCATGTTTAAAGGGAAAGTTTGCACGTGTGAGTGTGCATGCTGGGTGTTTCGCAAATTATCGAGGGCTCCACTGAAAACCATCCTGGTGAGTTAGCTTTCCTCATTAGATATTATTGTTCTTGTTACAATTAAATTGAAGCCGTGAAGCCGAAAGAGAGAATGGTAAGCAGATAGAACAACGCTTATGTAATAGTTCATGTCAATTTATGGCGGGGCAGTTTGGAAGACCAAAGTACCATGCTCGTGATGCCACATTGAAAACTTGAGGAGTAACTATTTTTGTTCCTTGAGTTGTGTTCCTATGGTGCACCTCGTCCTTAGCGAGGCTCCAGTCCTCCGCCGGTTCATTCCCGCTCTTTGGAACTGCGAAAGAGATTTATGGGAACGATTCATAATAGGACGCAACAAAGGGGTGACGGGAAGGCAGCCAACACTCTTCGCGCGTATGTGTTAAATAGTGCTAAAAGAAGACTCGGGGCGAGTCAGACGAGGCGAAGAGGTTTTGCCTTTCCCGAAGAGAACGGGCTAAAAAATATCATGTCAAAGGTGATTTGGTTATAGGTAGAAAATTCTTAGTTATTTTATCAGAAGGTATCCAGAAGTCTCGTACTCAGACGGTTAAGTGGTTGTACATTTAAGTTACAATTACACGGTAAGATCTGAGTACGAGATTACGTATCCAATAATGTACAATCTGTCAGTCGATCAATCATAGTTCTTATATTTTTTGTAGGATGGCAACGGCTTCATCGCTGACGAGGAGTTGGAGGCTCTCCTTTATGACATTCTCGATAAGGACCAGAAGGCAATGAGTTTTCTTCTAAAATCGTTCTTAGTTATTCTCTATCTCTAAACTTTTGTAACGTGTATGAGTGAATGGTGCATGAATATAAAAGATCTAAAAGTATTTGACGTCAACGTTTCCAGACAGCTACGATTATGCTGTTCAAATTTAGGAGACAAAGTTTGAGTTCAGACGGCGGAATTCTGAGGTTAAAAGCACACTTTGACAAATGAGTGACAGACAGCTGGTAAAAAGGCAAATAGACATGTAGGTAGCCATTAAAAAAACGGGTTTTCAAAAAGTTCTACCCACCAACACGTAAGCTTGCAGTCCTTATTATGAGAGTTTCAGCACGAGCGATTCTTCGTCTACAGGAAAGTAGGAGGCCTTTTTATGAGCAACACAAGCCTGCGAGAGGTCTTCAAGGGGTCTAGTCCTCAACATTTTTGTCAGAACCCCGACAAACCTCTCCCCGACGCGCCTCAAATTTTCCCACGTGAGGAGGAAAGCTCCTCCTCATCATTAAAGAGAATCAGAGACAGAGAGGGAAAGTTTTGGTACTGTTATTGTTATTGTTTTTGTTTTTTTGCAGGACATGGAGGACCCAGGTTGTCTCAAAGGTTACAAGAACAGCATAATGGACAGTTTTGACCAGAACAAAGATGGAAAACTCGGAAAGGACGAGCTAAAAATGATGTTATTGGCATGAGCAGTTAGTGATCTATGAAAAAAATTTCGATTCCAATTCAAGTCGAGTAAATGTGATAGGTAGTATTTTTTCTTCTCAGCCAGCAATATTTATGGCTCAGTTCTGAAATTGTTTTTGTCTTTTTTAGCATGACGAATTTGCTTCCTCCTAACCTGAATTAGTTATGAATTTGTTCTTATTACAAAAGGTCATTCCCAGGAGAGTGACAAGAGACTGTTTACTCAGTGTTCCTGGTAAGAAAACTACGCGCCGATCAATTCGAAGCTTTAACATCCCCCTGGGCAACCCATAGGCATTTTGACCGTCGTCCTTGTCCAGGGTCCGGGGATGGTGAATTTGAACCTTGCCTGGGTGGAGTGGGAAATTTGAACGAGAATTGTGAAGTCTTTCCAGTGGAATACACGTATTTTATCTTTTGATATGGAGATTTCAAAGGTAAAAAGTTAACTTTTGAGAACAGATGGCGCATGGCAAAAACACCACAAGAAAGCCACGGTCGCTGATCTTGCCTTTTACAAAAGGTTGACCATCGAATTTGGTCCCTAGGTAGGCATCTTCGGGAGGGTTGTCCGGGGGGAAATGCTAAAGCTTCGAATATATTATGCACGAGGTATAGTTATAACAATTTAACATTAATATCTAGATGCAATTATTTGGCCTCTGTAGGCCATACAGCACTCTTTGTAACGCCAAAGAAATAATAAATCATAATAATTCAGTTTGATTCCAGTGTTTTTGAGAACAACACGGCATGTTGCGTTACCAAACGTCACGCTATGTAAGTTAAGCATGGCAAAATGTCACAAGTTTGAGCCTGAACTTGTTTGGCGGAAAAGATTTCATTGAAGATCTCAGGCTGTCTCTGCAATAGACATTGGTCGCTATAAGGTATCGGAGGTACGTGGGTTGTTTACATGAACTTAGTCACAATAACTTGTTTTGAAAGCAGCGCACGTTATAGAGCATATGTTACAGACATGCAACGAATGTGACAGCGACTGGTCGCCTCTTTTCACAGACCATCTGTTTTTGAGTCAAAGCATAATCGTCCACAGCCCGAACAAAATAAGGGCCACAGGCTGGGCTTGAATCAAAGCGAATTCAAGCGTGGGGAGCGGGGGAGACTAAAGCAAAACTTTTTCATGGGATGTCTGCGGGTGCTCAGTAAAGAACATGAAGAAATAAACATAACCGATCCGACCTATTTCCTACTAAGGAAATACTAACACGACTTTAGCTGACCGAGTGCCAACAACTTAAAACAACCACTAAATCAGATTGATTTATTTCGACGTTTTCATCCAATCTCTCCTGGCTGGACGTGCTGGTTATTCCTAGGTACCAGTAAAATTACGATCCGAACGATCGTGAATCAGCAGATTGGGGCATAAAATTTCAGGGGAGCAATATTCAAAATTCAAGCTTCAATCTTCCCACTCTTCCGAAGCAGCACATTTAAAGCTTAAACTGCTGATTTATTACAAAATTTAGGGAGTACCACCGAAAGGAAGGTGTGAAGGGGGTGGGGTCGGATCTATCTCCTGCCCGATGAAGGAAGTATACATCCATACACGCTAAGAATGATCGCCTTTTTATCTCCTTACGACGTATCTGGGTGCTTGGCAGGCGCCTATATAACGCACTTAAAACGAACGGTTGGCAGACAAATTACGAGAGAGCTCGCATCGTCTCACGTGCCAGTCATTCCCTCTCCGTTAAATCACTGTTTAAGCTAATTTCATCACTCAAAAGATTTTCAATTTGCTCAAGAAGACTTTCATTATTTAAATTCTTAGGCATCGTTCTAGATCAATTTTAAGTCCTAGGAAAATTCAAAGAATCTGTTTCACTGATAATGTTTCTAAACTTATTGTGCAACTTTATATCCCTTCGACCCCACGGGTTCAAATAAGCACGAACAAGTTCAAATTCCATCTTTCATGATGCTGCACTGCAAGTTCCGGTATATTTTTATAGCGCGATAAACACACGGTATGATCTTGATTTGATTTCATTCCAGGCCCCTAACTAACCGCAGTTGATAGGTGAGCTTTCCGGTATATCATTTTTCGTCAAGTTCATCCAATAATATCGGCGAAAACGAATGATTTTGTTCAAGTGTGAACATCATTTGTCGCGGTCAGCTGGTAAAGTGGTGTTTGTTTACATTTGCATGAAAAGCTCCCTGTCTGTGACAAGCTCTCGTCGCCAGTTACCGTGGGGTTTCTTGACGCACGCAAGATGGCCTCATCGCAACCGAAGAAGCCTTTTGTGACTAAATATCATGGCAAAACTCAGCTAACATCGACTGAGTTTATGGAAGTTTTTAGGAAATTCGACAAAGATGGTAAGCTGTATTTTAATTAAGCATAATTTTAAGCGGCTATGGAGAGGGCAGCTGCACGAACTAGTCGTTGGCAGATCTTCGTGTCAATGTCCAGAAACCCTTTCACCTCTCGTGCGATTCGTTTGGGAGTTTCTTTTTTTTTCCAAATATCGTTTTAAATCCTTCAAGCACTGGCTAAGAGAACTTTTGAAACAGACCATGTTTAATTTTCGGTGGATTTTCCGAGCAGATCGGTGGAAGTGACAGTAACCAGTCCGAATAAGTATTCATCACGTAGAAAATTTAACTTCAAATATAATTCCACAGTTTTAGCTCCATTGCAGGGTCATTGGGAAATGTTGCTTAAAAAATTCACCAAGTTGGCATGAATTGAGCCTGGTTGAAAGTGGGATACTCCTCAAATCTTGAACACTACATTTATGAAAAAAATATTATTGAGTTCACAATACAATCAAATTCTACCTCAATATTTGCATAAGTCACAGCTGACATGAAACGGGTGGATTCAAAAAATGTTTAATCATGTTTTGGCTGCTTTCTCGCATTTTAGATCGGAAAGGAAAACAATGTCGGTTTTTCTCCACGTAATGTTTCTCCAAGGGAGAAATTCAGTCCTCGAGCAATCACCATGTAAATTATACTCCGACCGTTTGCCGCAAATGTATCATATAGTTTTATTCATTTCACAACTTCACGACCCGTTTAGGGAAACAAAGAAACAGTTCCTCAAGCAGTTTATGAAATTCTAATTTCAGGTAACGGCTACATTGAAGCAAGAGAATTGGATCCCTTTCTGCAAGAACTTTTCGAAGCGCGATATCATGTGAGTGTGCTAAAAATATTGCTTTTTTTTTTGTCTTTTTGAATATTGTGTCGTTGTCACAAAGAGTTTTCGAAAGGAAACCCTAAGATTAAATTCCATGGATGATAAAGTATTTATTGGACACGGAAAATATACGTGAAGAAGGCAGCCCACCGAATGAAATGAAAATAATTTTAATGGTAATCCGTGTGTTTAAAATGAATTATTTATTTCGTGTGGTCAGTCATATGAGATAAAACTGATCACAGAGGGTTAATTAATGGTTAAAAGCTGTTAATTTTTCGGTAACGCAAAACGACGTCTGATTGAGAATGTTTCCACTCAGACAACAATTTTCTACTGCATCTTTCAAATGGTAAAAAAATTTAATCGGTGGATGACATGTTTACGATTTCGATTATCAATTAGCAATGCTTTTTTAAAAGTGAGCTTAAGAGTTGGACCGCAAGAAAAATGAAGGGTAAAATATTTATCATACAGCCTACAATAAGATTTTGTGTTTTTCTTTATATTCAGACTTTTGTTGTACGAAATCTTTTAGGGAGCCTTAAAGCGTTTTTCGCTGATTACCGAACCGAGCCGAAAACTAAGTGAAAGAGAGTAAGCACAAATGACTGAGCCGATGTCCCTCGGCTTCACTCTCGCTCACTCTCTGGATGTTTCTAAATCTTTCGGAAACTTTTGTTGATTAGCTTTTATTTCGAATATGGCATTGCCTGGTGCTTAATTTATCTTTGCTGAACGTTGTTCATTCCTTCCGCTAAAACAAGAAACAAATAATCGCCTTTTTTTATAATACTTCGACGGAATTACAAGTCGCGGCAAACAGCGAATAAATTAACAGAAATTGTTCATTAACAAAAACTGTTACGATTAACGATTAATTCATCTCGTCTGCATGCATGCGATTAGCATTTTTCATTTTCACCAAAAGAAATAAAGAAAAGATTTTGCGACAACAGAAGACGTGGAGGTGCAACAATGTAATCATCTTGACAAGAATTTTAAAATAATGAACCATTTTGTTAATCCACATAATCCAGCAGAAGATAATGATACAAAAGGAAAGCTTGTGTAATATCACTTTTGATGACTAGAGCTAAAAGCCATTGACACTGTCATGATGATTCATCATTTACTGTAAACGAAAAAATACATTCGCTTCAGTCATTTTGCCATTTATTTAGAGGAACCAACAGGAGGAGGGGTGGGGGGTATAGAGAATTAGAAGTGCATTGCTCCCTCCCTCCCTCCCTCCCCCCCTCCCAAGACCTTCCTTAGTTAGTGGTCATTTCCGTTTTTCTCGTGACATTAATGTTTAATTCTGGGATGATACTCCAGGGAGAATTTAATGCCACTCGCTCTTAGGCGTCAATAATATATAGATTTAGCCAAGCCTAAAAGCGGAGCTCGCATTTTTTTTCCCGCACGTCTCAAGGGCACAACGCCTTGCCCCGGCCAGGACTAGAACCCAGGTCGTCCCACTCGGAGCCCAGTGCACTGACCACTGGACTACTGGACAAAGCCGTGGCGTTGGCGTGCCCGCGGTACAGTTGACCACGCATGTTAAAAGTAGCACCTTGTACGGTCGTACATCCAAATTTTTTCGGCTTGATGGGTTACTACTATTTTTTATAATTATGGGGCTACGCTCTGCGAGCTCCCATATTAGTCTGATTTTTTTCCCTTTTATTTCCTCTTCCGTAGGGTTTGGCCAAAGACAAGGTGAAAGAGATGAGAGAGCTTATTTTAGAGAGATACGACAAAAATTACGATGGCCGTTTAGAAATTGACGAGGTTGGTAGCAGACGCTTTTTGGTTTCATCGTAAGTTCGAATTTTAAAACTGCTCTGTTAAGTATAGTGGCGGTGCTTTGTTAACCTATATTTCCATGTTCCGTTTGCGTTTGCAGTTGGCACAGATCTTACCAACGGAACAGAATTTTCTTCTCCAGTTTCACAGAGAATCCAAACTAACCAGTGTAGAATTTATGAAGGTGAGGACGGTCACTTAAATCATTCATTCTTAGGTCTCGTTAGCTCCTTTTCGAGAGTAGAGGGAATATGATTGCATTATGGGAAGAAAACGGGAATTAAAACTTAATTCAGTTAATTCAACGATGGTCGGTAGGCAAAAATGATACAGAATTCAGATGGAAGTCACTGCTCGTGTTCTGTGATAAGATGCGTCAGTTTTCTGTGAATGACCCCTGTACCAGTGGTATTTTGTTGAGTTGCAGCCGGGAGTTGCGGCAATTGACTCTAACGTTAGAGATAACGGTAATCCGATATTTTAAAAAATGTTATTCTCCTTTCCTCTGCATTCATCTGAGAATGACCATGTCTCTCGAGTGTCTTAATAAAGTATTTAAGTGTATTACTTAAGGATGTTGATCAAGAAAACCCCGGTTTTTTTCAGATTTGGAATCATTATGATGTTTATCGTGAGGGATACTTGGAGAAAAAGCATCTACGGGTTTGCTTACTTGAACATTTTTTAACGATTATTTGCTTGTTATGTGCCAAATAATGTTATTTATAAACTTCATCTTAGTTATATCAATGGCCAAAATGAATTTTTTTTTCAAGAAGCGAACTGTTTTCCGAGCGAAGCTCGAACGCATTAACTCATGAAATAAATTTTCTTCCTCATGTTTGTACCTTGTGTTGCAGGGTTTCTTCAAAGATCTAATGACTGTAAACAATCCACACGTTAGTCCACAAAGAATTGAGGAGTTCGTTAATGGAGCGGTTAATATCTTGCTTTTTTGTTTTATTCTCTTTATTTCAACATCAAAAAGGAAAAAAAAATAGTGTAACTGTAACTTTGTGTATGATTGTCTCATCGATAGCTGATATTAAGAAGAACTAGAGAAGTCTTCAATCTTTGGCATATGTTGTTTTGTGTTCTCTCATATTTAAACACAGTTTTAAAGACTTCATATCAAGAAGCTCTTGCAAATAATGAAACAAAGATTTCCTTTTTTCGAAATAAGCAATTTTTATAGGTCTTTTCCTAATCTAAAAGAAGTTCCTGTAATAGCCATCTCGCTTGCTTGTCAAGGAGACAAGCTTTTCAAAATGAACTATATAAGCCAGTGTGATACCTGACCAGACTGAACATTGCTTAAAACTTTTCAAGAGTTGAATTTATTTTCCGGTTTCACAACCAGGATAAAAAGTAAATATGTTGCTATTTTTCGAGAATGTATGATTCTCATGGTTAGTTAGTCGTTGGATCACTATCGTACTGGTCTTTACTTGATTTTATTTATTTTATAACTTTGAACTTTAGCTTGATTCATTTGACAAGAACCAAGATGGAGAGATAGAGTTATCAGAAATGGCCAAGTAAGCTTTTCAAAAAAATTTCAAGTCTAGTACTTTCAAGGCTTCGTAAGGGACGATATCATAAGGGTAATGGGCGAGGCCTGTCTATTCAAGAGAGACCATCCTCCGAAATCAAGGGTAGTCGGGACGCTAAGAAAAATTAAAGTCCTTGTAAGCTTTTTTTCCCTGGACTTTTCAGGATGGCTTTCAAAGCAAGCAGTCAGGGTTACCCTCCTCCAAATACAGTCCCTCCCCTGATGTAACGTCGGCAATACCATTCATGAACCCACCCCACCTGTGTAAGGTAATCATTCTATTCTCATGTATAATAAAACCTCTTACCGAGCGTCTAGGGTACCAATCATTCTCAAGCAGTAAAAGAGGCTGTAATTCGATTGATAACCGCAAGATTATTGCTGCAATGTGTCGCCCCCTTAAGATGAAGTTTAAGCCCTTTTTTTCATCATTTACAGACTTCTTCCCGTGGAAGAGAATTTTCTTTCAAAATTTCAGGTAAGAAAGTTACACGTGAGCTCATTCCGAAAGGATTATCGAGCAGTTTTTCTCTTTACTGCTTATCATAATGCTTTATACCTTCGCGTGCTTTTCATATACAGGTCAGAGAAAACCTCTCTAGAGCGGAATTTGAGAAAATCTGGTACCACTACGATCAGGTAACTAAACGCGTTAACTTAACGATACATTTCTCTCTTCCCTTTTGTTGTTGTCGTTGTCGTTGTTTGTTTGTTTGTTTGTTTTCCTAAGGTTCACTAGTCACAGAAAACCTATGTACAAAAGTGGGTAATTTAGTGTTAACAACTGAGTTGAAAACGTAAATTAGCCACCGTAAAGGGTAAAAAAAGCTGACTTTTCGAGCGTTAGCCCTCCGTCTATAACGAAGGGCTAACGCTCGAAACTTCAGCTTTTTTACCCTTTACGGTGGCTAATTTACGTTTTCAACTCAGTTGTTAACACTAAATTACCTGCTGTACTCTCCCACCGACGCAGCACCACAGTTTCTTTAGAAACCTACCCCTTTATTTACAAAAGTGATTTCTATTGTACAGGATCACAATGGTAGCATTGGCGGAGCTGAGCTTGATGCTCTCATAAGGGATTTGTACATCAAGAATAACAAGGTATGGTAATGTAATGGCGGCATTTATGAGATGCTCGAGCAGAAACGTTATCTTTATGTAACATTGTAACCGCGTTTCAGACTGCTATTCTCCTACTTATTTTTGAGCTCAAACTGATAACCAGTCACATTCCATCCGTGAACGCAGCCAGGATTATTTGGAGATAGGAATAAGAAAAACTGATCTGGTGAAAGCTAACTTCAGTACAGGTGTGGGGCCTCCCTTGCGCAGTTTTGCGTTTACCTGCTGTTTAGCTCGTTTCTTGTGTTTGTTCAGTATAATGCAAATTAGCTCGAGAAAACAGCGATAACTAATCTTATGGAAAGGGTAAAGAAAAAAGGGCAGAGAGCAACACTTTTTTTGTTGAGCCACATATCCCTGACTTTGAAATATCGCCTCTAAACTTTTTCAAAAGAATTCACAAATTTACGGCTTGCACACAAACAAACCAATAATGTGGAGTTAACTGGGTGTGAATGAAAGTCAATTTAGTAGAAATTAAGAAAGAAAAACTTTTAGGTCAAAGCAGTAGTCGTAACGCCACGAACATAACGTTGCGTGACCAACCATATCGAGTTGTTTTATCTCTCAGGAGCCACCAGACATGAAAACCATCAGTGACCAGCGTGACATGATTATGAGGTTCGCAGACCGTGACGGTGATGACTCGATACAGAAGGAAGAACTGGGCTTGTTTTTCTCTGTGGCGCAGTCAAGACGAGTTCAAGAAATCAAGGTTGATGTGGAGGAAAGAGAAGCAGAAAGAAAAGCCGAAAAAGATGCTGAAAAGCAAGAACAAGCGAAAAAACCCGATGACGGAGGCTCTACCGACGGTAGCACAGGATGTTGCTGGCTTCTGTGATTTAAGCGAGCAATGAAATACTCTTAAATGTCCTTTACACAACTTGTTGGAGTCTCTCCGACAACAAGGCGCGTTGCCTTAGCAATTACAACATGTTGCCATGGTTGCTGAAACGTGTCGGTATATTGATAAAACAAATTGACTGTGCTAAATTAAATTTTGATTTGAAGCAATGCTTAGAACTGACTACCGCATTTGAAAGAGAAGAGTTTCCCAACTCATGTGCTCAATAATTGTACGCAAAAATCGCCATAATAACCACAGATACCACTATCCCCATCTCTGTCCTCTGACAGTGACCTGACCTAGGAAATTAATGCATCCATATATTTCGTTTACAGACTGCATTAGAGACACAATAAAGTTATGAAAAATGTTTTATAGTTTTCTGATTTCAGTGTTTTATATTACATTAGCATTATCATTTTTTTTTCCTTTTTTTTTTTGCCTGGAGAAAATTCATCATTATCTCTGTCAACAGTAACAAACTTAAATTCGCGAAGATCTTCTCAGACAGTCATAGTCTTTAGTTTACACTGTTAACATCTTACGCCGTTCTCTGCACAGTATGTCATCTCCTTTTGTACCTAAAACAAACAAAGAGGAAGTCAACACAGGGGGTAGCAAAGTACCAATTGTAAGGTCATAGCTTAGGCTTCTGCTTACAGCACCCAGGGTTTTCTTCTGCTCTTTTCTCGACATTATTTTTTATCTTTGCCTGTTTCACGAAATGAAAACATCACCTTTCTCAATTTAATTATGACAAAATCACGATAGCAAACAAAGTTTACGGTGGAGCTTCGTACTTTCTTATTCATAGAAACGAAAGAAAGAAAATAAGGAAGCACGTACGTACGAACGAACGAACGAACGAACAACCGAACTAACAACCGAACTAACAAACGAACTGACAAACAAAACGAACAAACGAACGAAAGAGCCGAACGGACAAACGAACCGAACGAACCGAACGAACAAACGAACAACCGAACGAATAAACGAAGAGACAAACAAACGAACAACCGAACGAATAAACGAAGAGACAAACAAACGAACAAACTAACGAACAAACAACCGAAGAACAAACGAAAAACCGAACGAACAAACGACGAGACAAACAAAAACACAACCGAACGAACTAACAACGAAACGGACAACCGCACGAACGAACGAATAAAAAACGTACGCACGAGCAACGAACGGTACAAAAGGGACGAGGGACCAACTTACGAACCAAAGAGGGGAAAGAAACATCAGATGACAAGTAAAAGAATAATTATCACTTACAAGTTTACAGTTCCCAATAAAGTAGGACGCAATTTCTTCGCAAACTAATAAACTCAACAAGACCAAAGGTCAATCAATTTTCTACTATCAACTGACTTCTTTAGGATCTGTCAAGGAAACTTTCGAATCGATTACAGCTAACTTGCAGAACAAACTCTAAAATTGGCAAACCTTTTCTTGGATTTAAATCTTCCTGGATTTTTCTTAAATTTCTTTGCCTCATCAGGTGTTGAACTGAATAATAAAGAAGGAAATATTTCTGTAAGTAATGACAGTAGATATATGTCAACATCCGTTGGAAACAACCATACTGACTGAAATCATTAATAGATGGGTGAATGAAAGAATAGATCAGTCAATGAATGTATTGTGTCACACCCACTAATGAGCAGTCAATTTCACATCGCTTTTGCCGAGACCACCACTGGTTACCATTCAAATTCTCATTAAAGCCAACGAGTCGTAAACAAGAACTTTCACTACCCTCTAGAAGTCACGCTATCAAACGAAAACTGGCTAACCTCTGTCTAAAAGTTTTAAGCGCCTTTTTACTTGTATCCGTAAGTTCTTTATCAAAAGCCTTCAGCCGTGAACTGCTACCACTGTTAGTTGCTTTCGTCTTCGATGATTTTCCTACAGAGGAAGGTATACAGTAGCAATATGACTTCCCATCAACTTGAAAATAAGGAGGCGCAAAAAGTCAATGTATCACGACACATTAAGTTCTGTTCCATTAAATAACGTCACGTTTCGGTGAATATGAAATAGTGTAGAAAGAGAAGCAGAAAAGAAACCTTTAAGTTTGAGGTCGGGTTTGTCCGGTGGAAACGCGTGTAACCGTTTCTTTTTCCTCGATCTCTTAGCTTCCCGCGTGATGAATTCTGCTTCTTTTCGTTTCTTTTTGTCTTCCTCCTAACATGGCAAAATGAAGGTCAACAAAACTCAAAAAGAGAAATCACACTAAGAATATTCTTTTGCAATTTGCGGCGGAGATGGGGCAAAGAGTTGAACTTGAACTGCAAGCTGCAAAAGCTAGGATCTTTTCGGTATCGCCATGACTTGGCTAATTTTATAGATACATGCACGTCTTTAAATGGGAAAACTAACGAAGGGGGTTAAATAAGACATCGCTTTGACTAGAACAGCACCATAACAAAAGTTTCTTTTAATAGCCTTGTGACCATTGGTGCGAGAGAGACGTCAAATGAACAGGTTCAGACATGTATAGGCTTCTGTATGTGTCGTGGTACAATTTTACAGCCCAAAATAACTCAAACAGTTATATATATGCTGCTGATTTTGCTTCTTTTCCACTTTTGTAACTACACACGTAATGAACTATAAAAAAATACAGGACGCTTACACTTTCATTTACGTTTGCTGTGTTCTTTTTCTTTTTATCTTGTTTAGATTTCTTGCTGGCCGGATCATTCGCTGCTTTATCTGTCAACAACAAATACACAAAAACATTAAACACTAAGAATATACGGCTGTACAGGAAAGAGAATTTTCACAGTTCCGTTCTAAGTTCTCACCAGACTTCCTTTTCAAGTCTGCTTTGCTCTGAAACCACACCCGAGGAGGCCTGGAGAAAATTTCTTCCTCGTGTTCTATAAGGTTGCGTGCCTTATTCATCTCCATCTCAGAGATCCTCAGCTGAAGAGAAAACAAACGGTTTAAACTGAAAGCAGTCGAGTAAAGCATTTTCCTTCCAAGCATCACCAAACCAAAACTTAGCTAGTCTTAAGATTCATTACGGGTGCGAAAATGCGTCCCGCAAACTGGAATCATAATTTCATTTGTACGAAGTTTAAGTGCAAAAAAGAAAGACATATAGCCATCGGTGTCAACATGTCAACTCAACTCCAAAGTTCTGTAAATAGGGTGGCCAGGTAAAAAAAAAATCCCTAAGAGTGGCTGGCTTCTAATTTCTCATTACAATATCACCCTTAAATCAGATGTAAAGTTAATGAGAAAAAAGGAAATGATCACCAATTTAGGAAGCTCCTGATCGTCAAACAAATTCTCCTTGTCAGTACCACAGGAATGTAAAGAGAAAAGTGTGGGGAATATGAATACCAATGTTAGGTTGTAAAAGGTAAAGGAAGTCAAAATTTGAACACCACACCGTCGCTTTTCAAAAAAGTGCCTATCTTGGGTTCAGGTGTTGAGGGAAATTTCTGGGAATGGCTCTGTTCCCTTGCAAGTTTTTGTTGTAAGTTTGAGAATCTCCTACCTCTTTTTCTTCGCTTTCTTGTTTTAGAATATCCTTCAAGTCTTTATCAAGTCCTTGGATTTTACCTTTGTATTTCTCAATCACCTCTGAGAAGGAAAAACAACAACTAATTTTAAATCCAACACCGTTAAAATACCAGACAAACAAGCCGGATGTTAAAAAAAAAAAAAAAAAAAAGCGGAAACACATTCTTACCCGGAGGAACTATTCTACTTTTCACAGGCGTCTTTGCTGATTTCACAATTTCTTTCAGCAATTTTCTTTCTTTCTCTCCAACTAGTGACACGGATCTATAGGTATAAGGATGGATTTACAAACGTAGCAAATATTACACGGAACAGTCAATTATTTTCCTAGCTCTCCAACATACTGTTTCAAAGCACGTGACGAAGTGGTTCTAATCTTTCCCTTTTCTTTTACCTCCCACTCCGTCCTGCACGAGCCGTTCTTCCCACTCTGTGAATGTACTGTTTCATTGTTGGTGGCAGGCTTGCATTTATCACCTGTCGAGAGAGGAATAAGTTTTCGACTTGAGTTTCTCAAAACCAAAACAAAGAAATGACATCAACCAATCACGACATGCTTGCCATGCTGAACAAAATGCATGGAGAAAAATACGCTAGCATAGCGTAGAATAAACCATAAGTGTAAACTGCAGTGATAGAATAAAAAGTTTTGCCCATTCATGGCGGCGAATGCACTAAAAAAATTATTATCGTTTGTGTCACGATGTACGTGACTTTCGATGTGGATCGCAACGTTTCGCCTACCTGCTGCTGGTCTTCATCAGGCGCAAATCACATCGGAAGCGACAACAGCGCGAGACAGACGATTTTACATCATTACAACAATATTTTCAGTACAACACATTTATAATTATGAACAAAAAACGTGCAACAAGGGATTGCCCTGTCCTCAAAGTAAAAGATATCTTCACCGACCCCTAATTATCAAGATGTGATGCACCAAAAATGTTATCATAGCTTCAGGGAATAAATTGCCACGAAGTTATAGGTTCAAATGGAAAGGCATCAAGATATTTAAAGACTCACCGTTTTAACTCCAACAATATCTAATCCCCTGGATGCTAAATCTGTAGCCAATAAAATGTCAACTTCGCCAGCCTTGAATTTCCTTAAGGCTTCCAGTCTCTGATGTGACAAAAACGAGTAAACCAAAATCAATACTAACAAATTTTATCAAATTTGCCTGTTACATTTGTCTAAGAGTTTTTTCTGTCTTTCTGGCAGGAAACTGGTTCAACTTACACATATATATCTACGAAAAATCCAACCACAGTGTGTAATTACAGGTTACATTATACTTACAGTATACATACAGTGTACACATACTCAGACATAAGGCAAAGGAAAAAAAAATCAGTTTGCAGTTCATGCCGTAAGGACTCGCCGCCCCCAGTCTCCCAAGCCACTGTAAGTGCTCATCTATACGACACTAAACATTATCCTGACAGTTTTCTATAAAACATTCTTTACACACCTTAGGCTGAAAACTAAGCCCCGGTTGTTCGAAGTTTGGATAACGCTATCCACTGGATAAAACTCCATCCGGTGGATCACGCTATACGATTTTCTCTCGCTTATCCGCCGGAGAGCGATTTACCCGTTGGATAGAGTTAACTGCCCTTCATACAACTGGGCCCATACATTTTCCCCAATACTGTTAGCCATAGATTTATACGATGGCTTTTCTTGGGTATCAATGGGTACTTTGGTTTCATGGTTGATAACCTCACAATTCTTATTATTTGTCCATTTGACGATGTATTAAAATTGTACAGAGAATTAAGATATTGGTCTCTCTTGTAAGTAAGAGGGTGAGGTTCTTCGCACCAACAGTAGTATAGTACATGTCATTACAGTACTTTATATCAAACCAGAATGTATTGCAAAACCTATAAAAGTAACGTAATAGATTCCAAAAGTAACGCAACACTCATGTACAACGAAGTGTCACGCACCTGAAGCTGAGTCAAGTTCCCATGAAGTTCTTCAACATTCAACCCGAGGAGCCCTAAGACGATTCGTAGTCTGTGAGCCAAGTTTTTCGTTTGTAAGAATACCAGGCAGTGTTCTTGGAAAGTTCGACTGCAAAGCGCTGCAAGAAAAGTTAAGTAAATGATTTGAAATTAAATTGTATGTACAAAATAAACAAAAAATGTTGAATTCAATTTTATTCTACGTGAAAGGAAAACGTACATCACAGAAGCGGGGGAAAAGAGGAAAATTAAAGAATAAAGATTGTTGACTATAGGGGAAAGCTTAACGATACTTTTAAGAACAACGTACATGTAACAGTTGCTGAATTTTGAATAAATTATTTTTTCCGACAATTTTCAAGTGTTTATTGTTTTATTCCTTGACATTTAATTAATTTGTCTCTATTGTTTTTTTTTCTTTTAATTGATTGGTTTTGGGGAAAAAGTGAAGAAAAGTTCCCAAACGTTATTTGCGGTCGTCTATCGGCCAGCTGTCGGCCGACTGTTGGCCGTTTGCGGGCCGACTGTTGGTCGACAAACGGCGAACAGTCAGCCGATAGTTCTCGTTACATGTACGTTTCAGTTCTGGTTTGCCCGTCTTCTTTATTGTACCTGTCACGATAGCTAAACGGTCTTCCTCCCTGTTGTTCCTGATCCTTACAAACTCTTGTCTCAAGTTGTGGGCCACGTCTGTGTTATTGTCCACAAATAGCCTTACTGGTTGATTTAGTGAAAGAGTTGCAAGTTCCTCCACCTACAGTGAAAATCAAGAGGCACTGTAATGGAGGTTGTACTTGTGCATATACTGATAACTTAACCTTTTACGCCCTAACATCAGCATCTACATTCTCCATACTTTTCTCTGTACGTTTCCTTTGGTTCCGAAAAGGAGAATTTGTATGAAAATCAAAGAATCTTTAGTTGGTTATAATTTCCTTTATTCTTACAACCTTAATAAATGATTCAGCAGTAAAATTGTAGGGAGAAATTAGATGCTGGTCACACTTGGGGTTTAAAGGATTACATGGCACTTCTGCAAACAATTATACCCGAAGTCGTAAAACTGCTTTGTAAATTGAAACATTATAGGCTTACGTACATGTAAAGTTACAATGTATAATACGATATGATACTATACAATTTTTACCATGAATCATAATTTACCTCGTCTGTCATTGTAGCCGAGAACAACATTGTTTGCCTTCCTCGTGGACTAAGTTTGACAATTTCTTCCATCTGATCTTTAAAGTTCTCATCAAGCATCCTACGGAAACACACATGAACAACGCACCATCTCAATATACCTACATGAAAGATGACAAATGAGCATATGACCTTGCTGGTTCATCAGTGACGCAGTAATAGAGCATCGGAGCAAAAAAATCTGTCTATTCCTCAACCCTTCTGTGCATCTATCCATCATTGCCTCTGTCTGTAGTCTTTCAGTCTGTCTACCTGTCTGTCTGTGTATCTATCCGTCTCTAAGCCTGTCTGTTGGTAGTTCGTTCTCAATCAACTTTCAGTTTGTCATTCAGTTATGAAGTCTGGCAGTCGAACAGTCCACCAGTCCATAAGCCAACAAAACAACTAGTCAATCAGTCATCAGTCACTCAGTCTGTCTGTTTGTCAGACAGACTGACTGACTCGTCTCTCTTGTGTACCTGTCAGCTTCATCCAGGACAATAATCTCCACAGTTTGTAGACTGAATGAAGGAGTATTATGCAGATGATCCACAAGTCTCCCAGGTGTAGCAATCACAATATCAGGTCCTTTCCTCAAAGCTGCTTCTTGAATCTTACTATCCAAACCACCTGCAAAGAATATTATATCCCCTTGAACATAGATGTAAAACATTTATGAGGGCCATTGACTGAATGGTGTTACAGGAGGGAATTAAAAAAGATCAGGTGTTTCTTAACCAAAACACTGTCTTGTTTTTTCTCAGTCTGCAGGGTGGTCAAAAACATTTTGAGTAACTGCAATACACAGTAGGCGGCACTGCACAGTTTTATTTCCACCAATGTTTTGTTTCCATGCTGAAAATTGATCTGCAAGCATTTAGAATTGCTGGTGTGTTTTTCATAGTAGACTGTACATTGCACCAGTTGCTAGCTCATTTTGAAAACTCTTAAATCTGTATATGTTCCTTTTTTGATACATGAGAATATTTGTACAAGTAGAAAACCTGCATGGACAAAGCAGTAGAAAGTCTGATGTACAGTATTAGAGAGATATACAGTGTAAATCTTAGCTTCTGCTATCAGGTGATGGTGTAATATTGCACAACTGACCTACATGCACACAATCAGAAAGTGTGCACCGCATGTGTACATGTATATCATACTTTTGGAAAGATTTGTCACCTTATAGAACTTGTTTTAATATATACCAGTAACTTGATCAACACTATAAATTCAACATGATTTACGGAGACTTAATTTGCACTCTGTCTAAAGGTTTAAAATACCCTGATAAACAGAAACTTACAATAAATATATAATTGATAAATGAAAATGACAAATGAATAAATAAATAACATCACCAACCTGTGGCCAGGCAGACCTGGATGTTTGTGTGTTTGGACAAGGTTTTGGTCACAGAGTGCACCTTCAAAATGATAAAAAAAATTCCCCCATTTCAGCCATATGATACCATGAAAACAGGGAGTAAATTTTCACAACATACACATGTAGGTTCACTTAGACACAAATGTGTAACAACCACCTGTTAGTGCAACTGAATCATCTACACATAATTTTTTTCACTTCATTATCAGATCACAACACAAAGTTCAAACATTGTATCCTATTACTGCTAACGAAAATTGTGTTCAGCAAAGCAGGCAAGATATAGTCACAGTGTAAATGAAACAAAATGACTTCATTGTAAATTGTATATTGTGATTATAATGTATTTTGCCAATGATGAGTGAATGACAACTCAGCTCACTCAATTGCCCTCAATACATTAGTTTTACAGTTTTACAGTTTAAATCAATCTGGCAAATGTGCCTTTCAACAACCATTAGTCCTCAACATTGTTGAGCATTATGCATTTGTTTATTAAGGTAACCACAAAATATGCACATTTAATTCTTCTGTCTCATTATCCTTATCAATTGCGATAATAATTACCAAGCTCTCAATTGATAGCAACTCTACCTATATTTTGAGAGAAAATAGTGACTAGACATTCATTTCTCAATATAAAAAATAATTAACAACCAGTAACATACCTGTGGTACATAGAAATGAAAAGTGCATACAGTTACATAGTTTATAATCTGCTTTACCTGAATGGCAAGTTCTCTAGTGGGAGTTAAAATGAGCACTCTTGTCATGGCAGACTGTTGTGGTCTGTAAATCAGTCTCTCCAGTATTGGAAGCATATAGGCTGCTGTCTTACCTGAATGGGTAGGCACCGAAAAAATAAGCAGAAAATGTAAATTTGTAAAAATGACATTGAAAACAGCTGGCTTTTAATTTGAAATCAACCCTTCAGAGGCCCAAAGAAAAAAAATGACCCAGATGTTGGTTCAAAAAACCATTTTCAACCTTAAAAAAAAAGAGACAAATTTTAATATCAATTTAAAAGATTCAAATGAAAAGACAGCTACATCCAGCTGTAAGATGAGTAATAAAAAAAAAATGTTTCTTACTATAATTCACATATTTCATATATCAATAAGTCTTGAGAATCATCAAATTGAGCTTATATTTGCTGCAAATTTACCAACCTGTTCCTGTAGCTGCACACGCACAGATGTCTTTACCCATCAGGGCCACTGGAACAGTTGATGCCTGGATAGGTGTGGGGTGATTGAATCCCAACTCATTTATAGCCTGGAGAAATACACAGTCACATAAATTGTGGTCCTATAATAGGACAGAGTATGCATGTACAGTAGTCTAATATTCAGTCCATACCAGTGATTATCAAAGAAATCGAATGACTCCAAAATGGCAGTCCAGTTTCTTCACTAGAAGTACACTGTATCATTGCTGAATGAATTGGATGACACAAAGTCCTGTTTCGAATTAATCAAAACTATGACAAAATGTGTGAAACAAACACCCATTGGTTGACATAACTATAGATCTGGCCCTGGTTATTTGAAGCTATGTTAACTCTATTCACTGGATAAATCTCTATCCTGTGGAAAGCGCAGTACGTTGTTCTCACACCTATCCACCAGATAGCAATTTATCCGTTGGATAGCGTTATCTTCCTTTATACAACTGGGCCCTGGACCTGGTTGTTCAAACAGTGGATAATGCTATCCACTGAGGTCAATCTCCAACTGAAGGATAGCACAGTATGTTCTGTTATCATTTATCTGCTGAATAGCAATTTATCAGTTAGATAGAGGTATCCCCCTTTGAGCAACTGGGTCCAGGCTGACTATAGATTACCATTAGAAAATGACCCCAATAGTCTGCAGATGTACATGTACATGTACACATCAGCACAAATGCAAATGAGTACCTTCCAATTACAAAGGCAAGAGCATGGACTGACCAAATTTTTTTATACAATTGCAAGCACAACAAGATAACTGTCCTTCTAATGCTAAGACTGAGTTGGGGATAATCTGCAGGGATTATTCATAGGTTCAGTTCACCTTAAAATTTCATTAAAGATCTTGTGGTACAAATGTTTCTCTGCTTTTCAAGTTTTTTCAACTGGTTAGAAGTTACCTAGTCTCATTTCCTTTGATTCAAATTGTACGTATTAAATACTTCTGCATATCTAGTAGGATGAAGAAATTTAAAAAGCCGACAGCTCAAGTGGTTTGAATTTTTTCTTTAATCCAAGACCAAAATTTAAACAAACTGTTGACAAAAGTGCTCTAACACAAACAGCCCCATACTCATTACCAAAAAATTGCAGCAATTTAAAGCTTTGTACTTGACAGACATAAAAAAGTGACAGTCTTTTTTTAAAGACAGCATGCAAAGATGTTCATATATTACCTTCAATAAAGGTCTTGACAAATTCATTGTTGCAAAATTTTGATGTTTCAGCTGAGGAGGAGGTTCTTCAAAAAACTTATTTTTCTTCTCAGTAACCTAAAAATAATTCAGAACATAAATTTTAAGACCTCTTCATCAATTAAAACCTACCCTTCTGTAATGCACAAGTCCACAGGATCTCCATGACAGTTCAAATAAGACATTTCACCTGTGCATATAACATACTCCAAAAATCCTTATTCTTAATGTGTAACAAGAATATGTATTTCTTCGCAAACAATTTGGGTTTACCAAATAAAACATCTCACTAACTAGGTAATAAATTCATAAAACCATACATTTATATTCTTGTACCATGTCCTGAATTTTAACTTGCTTTAGGGTTTGCAAACAGTTTGGAAAACTTACACTGTATTAATTGTTAGATGTTTGTCAAACAGCAACACCAATGTATTCACCTTGGAAACTCTACATGTATTGGCTACAACCAAGCATTTGAACAATGATTTACCAATTTTTTCTACATCTTATTTGATATGGATTTCAAACTAGAAACATCCAGAAAATGTTGTAACCCTTCACAACATAAAATCTCCAGACTGTTCTCCATACATTCCCTAGGGTGCTGACAAGGAGAATTGGTGTAACAATCAACAGCTTCTTTAGCTCCTGATAATTTTCTCTCTTCTCATGACCTCAGTGTATGATTCAGGGGTGCAAAAAAAAAAATTATATACTAGTCACTCTTAGGGGTTAGAGGGTTAATATTTACACATACCTTATCAATAGTTTCTTCATCTTCTGAACTGCTGTCTTCATCATCTGAATGTTGTATGGAATTGTCTACAAAAAATGATAAATATCTTTCTCTGATCAGCAATACCACAGCTGTAGAGTGTAGCACACATAAATATTGTGTATCGATACTGTGACTGAGGTGTTAAGTTACCTAGATCAAAAACAATAGTAAGTTACAATATACAGTAGAACCCTCTTCACTTAACTGGGTTGAGTCAAACTTCCTGGTAACTTTCTCAAGATCTGATTCTCTTAACCCCATTTTCCAGTCATTCACTACTAGTTAACTTGAACTCCTGCTAACTAAAACATTTTTTATTTCCTTAGGAGTTCAGATTAGAGAGTTTCTACTATACATATATGCACTTAGTTGCACAACTAAGCTGTTTATTATAATAGCTTACAATAATAAAAATGCATGTTTGATATGAGGGCTTAAAACAGCCAAATGAGTATTTTCCAGTAGCAAAAGTTTTTTAACAAGCAACCCAAAATTGGCAAGAGACTTCAATCACAAAAATACAAAAATGAAAACAACTAACAACTAAACTGTAGCTGCATTATACAATTTAAAATGAATTTCAGATTGAATCTATTTGAATATAGTTTGTTTCCCCTCTGTTTCATTGACTTGTGTATGTACCTTATAAATTAGCCTCACAAATCAAAACTTTTAACATTAGTTTTAAAGTAAATGTACAACAAACAAAGATGTATTTCTAACAAAAACTATGCCTTTATACCAACATGACCTAGAATTTTTCTCTACTTCAGTAACATTAAACCAACCTACAAATCAGTTCACAATTAAACTACAAATTTGTCACAAAAATGTTGCTCACCTATGTTATTCACACCATTCCTTTTCACCTCCTTTTCTTGTTTTCCTTCACTCAGGTTTTTGACACCATCTTCTTCCCCAACTATAGCTTGCCTCTGAATGTTCTCCTTCTCTGATTTCCTCTAAAAAATTTTGTGAAAGTTGTTACATCAGTATAAGAAAATTGCAATGCACTGTTATTATAAACATGCATGAAATCACATACATGTAGCAAGAGGGTTAAAACAAGTTTGAAAAAGCTGGCTTCTGTCATCAAGTGTTGAATGGTTGACATCTGTTATAAGTACGGGAATAGCATGATTTCTTGTGTAATTTTGTGTTAATAGGCACAAATGAATTTTTCAAAGACAACAAAATTGCATGAACCTGTAAGGTGTGTGAAATGTCTAGTCTTTTGAAAATTTTTAAGTGTTATTTACACCAAATTGCACAAGAAATCATGCTGTTTCATATTTTTACTTTACATGAAAAAAGCTTCACAGAAAGGAAACATAAACAAAATGTTGACAGCGCATGCTATTTGTAATTTGGACACGTATAAATAAAAGAGTAAAACAAAAATCGCTCCCCATGCCCTTTTACAAAAATAACCTGTTATCCTTTGTTAAAGCAACACCTGTAAGGCATACCTGCTTCTTTAACTCTCTTCTCTTCACTATTTTGTCTTGAAGGCTTGATGAGTTATTATTCTAACAAAAAAAAACAACCAACAAATAAACAGACTGTAGTCCTTTAACCAGTGAACTCATTACGAAGAATGAGCATCATCCATCCGCGGGAATATTTTTACAAACATTGTCCATAATTTTAATCAATATTTCAATCACTGCATTTGCTATGGCTAGCAAGATACGCGAGAAAAAAATGAAAGGGTAACCTCCCGATGTAGTCGTGTAGACAGGTCTAACTCTGAATGACATGACCTAATCCATTCCCATGGTCGAAACTTTACTCGCCGTATATATTCCGACATTACTTCCGATAAAAAAAAGTTGTAGTTAAACCAAATAATATAGGGCGGAAAACAATTCAGTCGTCCACAAAATGACCACGGCAGCAAATGAAACGACATATTTCAGACATTATTTATTCGGCAAAACCTTGGACACGAGAGCACAGCACGTGTTCGCTTTTGAACCACAAATTGTGAATTATGGAATAACCGGCCCTTTTTATGGTTCTCAAGATTAGATCATCAACTCACCGATTCTTGTTTGTGTTTTGCAAATCTAATGGCTGCATCCAGATTCCACGGATCTTCATTGCCATCTTCAAACCCCTCTCCGGAAAGGAACTGGAAATCATTATCAAAAGACGAACTTCCTTTCTTCTTAGTTCTGCTACTCCTAACAATCTATAAAGCAAATGAATCACTCTCAAACATTACTTCACATCAAGAGGTATTAAGCCTAATGGCCAACTACCTCTTCTGTTTCTTCTTCGCTATCGCTTTCGTTATCCAACTGGTCTACATCGTCATCTGAATCTAAAGTTCCCACGAAGGGAAGAGACGCCATGATAGATTTCTTAAAGTGCCTTCGTTAATATTGTTCAGCGGGCGATGTCGTGCGTACGGTAGGTAGATCATGTATGGGTACATATTATGTCCTCAATACATATTATGTCCTATACTTTACATACAATATCCTACACACACATACAGGGCTAAACAAGGCTATACACAGCTATACACTGCTATACACGACTATACACGGCTATACAGAGCTAGACAGAGCTATACAGGGCTATACACAGCTATACAGGGCTATACACAGCTGTATAGCCTATACACAGCTGTACAGGGCAATACAATACAATACAATTTTATCACCAAATGGTCAAAGCATGGTTCGACGGTTGCTGCTCTGTCTGAAAGAGGTTTCATCAAGGACCTATCTATTGCAGTGGATGTTGAAATTAACCCGGGTCCGGAAAATTTTAACTACATGCCGACTGCTTCACTTCAAACTTCAAGACCTAGATTTTCTTTCAGTCGACGTAATTTATTTCAACTTCGCTCCTGTTGTCCTAAGGTTAAACTGGATTATTATCTTATTCATCGCTTAAAGTCATTGGGAATTTATAGAGCTAGAGGTCGTAGAGCTGGTGTTAATTCTAGATTTGGATCTCGTCAACAACATCACAAGATTCCAGTTCGTGTCACTGACCACTGTTTTTTATCAACGACCAAACGCGCACGACTTCGACCCAAGGATACAAATTTGCATTTCATTTCTACTCACTCTTCTTCTTTACCCCGAATAATCCCCAAATGTATGGTCATTAATGCAAGATCACTTGTGAAAGTTGATGCTGCTTCTGCTTTGCATATGGAATTGCACTCAAACAACTGCGATATTTGCATCATCTCCGAGACATGGCTTAAACCAAATTTTCCATCTCATCTCGTTTGTCCGAAGGATTACTCAATTTTGCGAAAGGATAGAACTGACCGGTCAGGCGGTGGTGTTGCTATTGTCTGTAGGAGCGATTGGTTGTTGGAACGATTAGACAGCGTTTTTTATAATGCCTTTGAATGTTTGTGGGCTAAAATTACAACTCCCAACTCAAGCTTTTATGTGGCTGCTGTTTATCATCCTCCAGATCCGCCATATTGTCCTGATGATTTATTGGAACATCTAACAAATAGTTGTGATCATTTATTGACTGGTAATCCTAACAGCAACCTTATAATTTGTGGTGACCTCAATCAGCTAGATTACAATGATTTTCTTACACAACTAAATTTATTCCAGATGGTAAATACACCGACAAGAAAGAACAAAATTTTGGATGTTTTGATTACTAACGTCCCACATTTTTGGAGGAAAGTATCGGTCACTCAAGGACTAGTTCGATCTGACCACTCTGTGGTCCTGGTATATCCCAGAATCCCACTTAAGGCTGAAAGGAAAACTGTGATGTTCAGAGATGTTCGTGATCATCATAAACTGGATATGGATAAACTGTTGAAGTTTCATAACTGGGACAATGTTTATCAATGCGGAGATGTGAATGGAAAACTTAATCTTTTTTGTACCAAGATTAAGACCATGTTTGATGAGTGTTTTCCGGGTATATCAGTACGTGTGTCTAATAGGGACCCCCTGTTCTTTTCTCCTCTAATCAAACATCTACTGGACCAACGGCGAAAATTGATTCGGCGAAGTAACATGTCAGGAAATTCTGTTTCGATTGAGATCCAAACTCTTCAAGAGAAAATCAACAAGTTGATCAGAGATAATCAAGTTCGAGCAGTTAAAGGGAATTTTGAGAAACATAGTGCAGGATCCAAATCTTGGTGGTCAACAGTCAATTCCCTGACAGGAAGGAAGTCTACCAACTCGCAAGTAAGCTCAATTATCTCCCCGAGCGAGATCAATAATTTTTTCTGTTCCATTAACACTGATCCCCTTTATAAACCCATTGACACTGTCACTATCCCGGAATCAAGCGAGATGCCTGTTTTAACGGTCTCCAGTGTTACCAGGAGTCTACTGAAATTAAAAAGAACTGCCTCTGGTCCAGATGGAATCCCGTACTGGTTCTGGAAAGAGTTTGCGTACGACCTCGCTCCTGTTGTTACCCATATTTTCAACTGTTCTTTGGAAAATCACATTGTGCCTGATCTTTGGAAATTGGCCGACATAACTCCCTTGCCTAAAGAGCCCAACTTTAAAAATTGCACACAGTTGCGGCCTATTTCGCTGACTAATGTAATAATGAGGGTTTTTGAACGTCTTGTATACAGACAAGAATTATCTCAATATATGAAGAACTTCATTAGCTTCGACCAGTTTGCATACCGCAAAGGCCACAATACGACAATGGCCTTAATTAAGTGTCAATATGCTTGGCTGAAATGGCTTGAGTCGGGTTTTGATTGTGTTAGAATCTTCTCTTTTGATTTCAGCAAAGCTTTTGATTCGGTCCCTCATGATATCCTCTGCTCTAAGTTGAAAACACTTGATATAAATCCATACGTGACCAATTGGATTATTAGTTTTTTACAGAACAGGAAACAAAGAGTTGTTGTTGATGCCATTGTCACGGACTATGTAAATATCAATAGAGGTGTCCCTCAGGGGACAGTTTTAGGCCCTATACTTTTTTCTATTATGGTCAATGATATTAAGGCCATTCTACCAAATCAGAATTTACTTGTGAAATATGCTGATGATTTAACATTAAGTATTCCAGTAAAATCGCTGGCTAATAACGGCAATTTAGCAGCTGAGGAGGTCCGATCGATCGTCGCATGGACATCTGCTAATCGTATGCAACTAAACTTCAAGAAAACGTGGGAGATGCTTCTTAGAGGCAAATCCACTAAGGCCTTACCTGCTCCTCTGGTTTCTATAGAGCGTAAACCATGTCTGAAGTTGTTGGGTGTAACTTTTCAATCTGATCCGTGTAACTGGGACTTACATTTTGATAATATTATATCGAAAGCCAGTAGTCGTCTGTACATCTTACGTGTTTGTAAATTCTATGGACTGCCGCTGGATCATCTTCATCTTCTCTTTATCAGTCTTATTCTACCTATATTTACATATGCTGTAGAAGTATGGGGCTGCGCGTATTATCATAAGTATCTGAGTCGCATAGACAGGCTGTTCAAGAGAGCTTTTAAGCTTGGCTACTGTAAAGAGCTTTTTTCGATTGAAAATATTATTATTCTAAAAGATAAGAAGTTGTGGGCCAAGATCACCGACAGCGATTTTCCAACAGCTTTAGATGACCTTTTGCCACCAGAGCGAACAATGGATACGCTACGTAAGAGGCGCCATAATTATATTCTCCCGCTTGTCAGAACTGAACGTTTCAAAAGGACCTTTATTAATAGATGTTTGTTCTCTTATTAGTTATTCAGTTAGTAATTTAGTTAGTTTATTAGTTTTATACTTGCTGATTTCATATCATTGTAACTAAACACGTTTGTTGTTTAGAGTGCTTAATAAAGACTTATTATTATTATTATTATTACATACTTTATAATCAATGTATCGCCAGCTGTCATTGGCCAAGGAACTGGAAGAAAAGCGAGTGGGTGCCTGTTTATAAAAAGGACGATCGTTTGAACATGGAAAATTACCGTCCTGTAAGTATAGCGATCATGGTAAATAAGACCTTTGAAAAACTTCTTACAAATCAGATTACAGCAGAATTTAATGAACGTTTGGGCGATAGCCTGACAGCATACAGGAAGAGATACAGTTGTGAAACGGCACTACTAGCATTGACGGAAGACTGGAAAAATGCTCTGGATAATCGAATGAGCGTTGGCCTGTTAAGTACTGACATGAGTAAAGCGTTTGATTGTCTTCATCATTCTCTATTACTTGCTAAACTGGAGGCATATGGCTTTAAAAACGAGAGCATCAAGCTAATGAAATCATATTTTATGGATCGCTATAATAGGCTAAGAATTGGTGGAATTGCAAGCTCCTGGAAAAGGGTCAAGAAAGGATGCCCTCAAGTGTCCTCGTTTGGACCTCTTTTATGGAATCTTTTCCAAAATGACTTGACGTTCGGAATTCCTTCAAAAATTGGGATGTATGCTGATGACCATCAGTTCTACGAAATCAACAAGGATATCAGTACTATACAAACAAAACTACAGGATACTGCACAAAGAGCTACAAATTGGTACGATACGAACTTTCTCAAAGGGAACTTTGATAAATATGGATCAATGATATTGAAAGGAGGTAGACTAAATGATGAACAGTTAGAGCTAAATGTTAACGGAACAGCCATTAAATCATATAATTCTATTAAGTTATTGGGTGTAAATATTGATGATAATTTAAATTTTTCTGATCACATAAGTAACATCTGTAAAAAAAGCAGTCAAAGGGTGGGTGTAATTAATAGATTAAGGAAGTTAATCCCAGCCAAGGCTAAATTACATTTTTTTAAGGCTGCTATTCTGCCTTATTTAACTTACTGTAGTATTGTATGGAATTGTTGCAAAGCTAGTGATTCTAGAAAATTAGAGAGGGTACAAGAACGGGCCCTTAGAGCTGTTTATTGTGATAGCATATCATCATATAGCGACCTCCTTAAGAGGGCTAATTTAAAAACCTTACGTAATAGGCGATTACATGACATAGCTGTGTTAATGTTTAAAGTTAAAAATGATCTGTGCCCTAATAATATCAAGAACCTGTTTGTTATTAATAACAACAAATATGATTTAAGAAACAATGATTTCATTATCCCTAGAGTTAGTACTACGCGCTATGGCAAGCACTCTCTTAGGTACTTAGGTCCAGTAATCTGGTCTAAGTTAGATGGAAAAATAAGAGCACTAAGAACGCTGCAAGAATTTAAAAACGCTTTACATAAAGTAGATATACAAAGTTTAAGAGAGTGTCTCTGTAAGAGCGGTCCGGTCGATTTTGCTTGAGACACGGATTTCGCTCGTTTCTCGTGTGTTGTAAGACATTCATGTACCTATACTAAAACCACAATCAGTTTGATCGGATCTCTTTATTTTTCAGAGTTTTACGGA